CTTCACCTTCTCAAACTCCACCTCCGAGTCCATCCTGGAGAGCAGTGAGCCGTGGCTTCCGCCAGAGAAAGCTCCTCATTTTACTTCCCTTGAACCTTTGCCACCTTTCAGCAAGTCATCAAGGTGCAGGGAAGGGCCACAGGGTCAGCATGTCACCGAGGGGGAATACAATAGGGCAAAGTCTTCTATGCTTTGTAACGTTAGCCGTAGATGCAGCAAGCCACCACAAGGACAGTTGAGGCCTGGAGGCCATGAGAGTTTGGGAGTAGAATTATCGGCCCAGAAACTTGCCAATGGCCAAGAGGCTACCGAACCATGCTGACAGCATTGCCAAGTGAGCCCCATGCGGTGCCCCCACAATCTGGTGGGTCCCATCCAGACCTCAGCAGATGAGTACAGGCTTGTCTTGAGGCAAGAGGGTGGGACGGGACTGACTATACTTAAGAAATGCCTGGATGGGTAGAAAATGACTTTTTTTTTTAAGTGTTCAGCTGAGTTCATGGAAATGGGGACGGGGGTGATGCCATGCAGCCTCCGGCCAAAAGGCACTGTCTTACCTGACTTCTTACTTAACTGAACTTTGACTTGCAGCCCAAGAGAGGTCTCAGGGAGAGGAGGGCCAAATGAGGAAACGCCTTGAAATGCCTTATAGATTACACCGGGGGCATTCTGCTGTGGTGCATTGCACCCTGGAACTGGATGTGTAAATTCTATAACAGTTGGGGGGGATGAGCCTACACTTAAGATTTGACAGTTTTGTGTCATGGGAATTCATGATCATATACCAAATACTGTAATTCATAGCTCTGCTGAGCTGAAGGAAGGATCCAGGCTACGAGGTGAGAAGAAATTCAAAGGGGCTTAAGATAAAACTCGCCTCTTTGTAGTCTCCCAGGTGACCCTGGTGATGGCAGCCACACCCACAGAACTTCTCACAGGTCTTATTTTCCTCCCTGTTTTCCCTTGGATCAGAAGGCAGGTGCCTACTGTACCCTATAAATGTGAGGAGGAAACCCAGAGCACATCACATGGTTTGCATCTGAACAAATCTCTGTCATCTGTGGAAATGACGTATCAGAAGATACATTTCCATTAAGAAATGGGGGGCCTAGAAGGAAGGAACTGGGCAGGGTTCTATATGGAACCCAAATTATTTGGACTTTCTTAGAAAGAACAAAGTTCTGTGAAAAGGAGACTCTGTAAACCCAGAGATGGCCCCAAAGACCAGGGCTTCTGGCCTGTTGAGAGCTGAGAAACAAGAGTGGACCTATTGGCATTTGATTAGTGCAGACAAGTTAATAAAATAGCCAAAAGAATACACAAAGAGAGGATGCACAAGAGGGCTCTGGGGGAAGGTAAGAGGATTAAAGCTGCAAAAACATTCCTCTAATGGATTTCTCAAACACACCAGCCCACAGGCAAGGGCAGGTGTCCTGTCAAACCATTTCCCCCTGAAACCCGATCCATTCTGCAGTGAGGCCTGTTAACCCCATTTGGAATTGAAGGGCCTGCCCCCTAGGCCCAGGGAGGCGCTCAGAGCAGCCCGGGGACTGGGCAGGAACCCAGCTTTGCAGACAAAGGGGCCTGGGAATAGGCTGGTTTCCTTCACTCGCAGCCAACTAGATCTCTGCATCTGCCTCATCTGGTGGCTGATTAGGCCATTACTAATCACACGTCTCCAGCCCGCCCCCCTCCCCAGTCTCCTTCCTGCCTAAAAGCACTAAAGAGGGGGTGCTCTGATTTTCAGATCCATCATCACTTTGTTACTCTGCCTGTGATCCCTTAGTGAAACTCAACTTTTGCTCTAGCAGCCAAATTGGATGTGTTTGTCTGGTGAAGCAACAGCTAAGGCTTAAGCTCAGGAGGAACAGGGCGGGGACAACGCCAAGGATCAAACTACTGCTTATTTGTTTTGAAGCCAGGAAGGCAGGCCTGCCAGTAGGATGCCCAGCTCCGGTGTCCTCGGTCCTGCCCACATGGGCTGTTGTGCACATGTTGGCATCAGAACAGAGGGGCTGTCTGGCCACATGGCTGACCAGTGCCCAGCTTTGTGCCTCCCCCACTGCACAGCCTTCTGTCTCCAATTTAGCAGTTGTCAGAGGGTGCAGAAGGAGCCAAGGGGAACGAGGGGGGCGGCTGTGTTTTGTCGTGGTGGGTCGGTGAGGTGGGTGCATGGAGGAGTGCATGCCTTGTGCCTGGATAAGCTCTCGATTACAATGGGGCAAGAGCCTGGGCCATTAACATGGAGATGGCATTCTGGTGCCAAACTCCTTTCTTTCTTGTAAAACGATCTGTTAGGTTTGAGTATATTTTTGCTTGAGGCAAATTTTCTTGCAATGAAATAAAGCAGAGGAGGAAAAAAAAAAATTCAAACTCTTGGCGGAGTAGTTTTAGATTTATGGGACTGTGGAAGAGAGTGCTTCTTGGTGACAGGAATTTTCCACATGCCCCTGAGCGGACAATCGCTCACAGCTCGCTTTGTGGGGAGCCTCCTGACTTGGCAGGTACAGCACACACTGTGCAGAGGAGGATTAAGGCCTTCGCATTGTGTAAGTGCATTGCTTTTGAAAAGCAGTTAGCAATATTTAGTCAGAACACACTGCACGCAGGCCATCCACCCTCTCCCGTAGTCCGTATCTCCTTCCTCTCTGAGAAAACACACATCCGCTGTCTTGGCTGAGAAGCTCAGCCAGGACTGGACTCCATGATTTTGAGGGTCTAATGCAAAATGCAAATGTGGAGTCTTGTTCAGACTTGTTAAGGATTTGAAGACGGTGATGAGCAGAGCATTAAAGTGAGCGCTGGCCCCTTCCATGCTCAGGGCCACGTGCAGCTGCACAGAGTGCACTCCCAGCAAGCTGGCCTTGGGCTCAGCCTTCCAAATTGTTCATTCATTCAGCAAGGATTTATAGAGCATTTGCTGTATCCTGAATACTGTGCAGTGGGGTTTGGGGCTGGGGTGAGGAGTGTAAAATCAATAGGCCGTCCCCTAGGAGTTCACAATTTACTTGGAGTCAGATTATCACATATACAAAGTTAAACAATGACGAGATAATTCTTTAAAAGCCCAGAAGGCTCTATACCCACCCAAAGGAAGCAATCCATAAGTGAGATCTCCCCTTGACCCCCAGATATCACTTGTTCAGCCCGGAAAGTAAAAAAGGGCGATAGAAATGAATGGGGGCAGTCTGTCTGTGTTTGCCATGCCACTGGTGAACAGCACGTATTTCCTACTTCACCTTCATTACCTATTTCACATCTCTTCTGTGACTCCAGATCAACTGCTCTAGAAGCAGTCTATTTTCATAATAACCATACTTAGGTAAAAGGTTCGTAGAAAATGTGTTGTGCTAGGCCTCTGTCCTTGAGCTTGCAGTGTAGACGAAACACAACTAGGAAATTTGAGTTCATAGGCAACATAAATGGGCATCTTGTACCTGATCTGAGGGTCCCAACTTCCAAGATAGTCCTTAATTCGGTCATTCAGCATTGACTGAGCATCTACTTAGGCCAGGCCCTGGGTTAGGTTCAGAGGACACACATACAAACAAGACTTGGTCCCTGCCCCTAAAAAGTTCACACTCTAATATTGTAAACAGAGAGACAGTGATCCTTTCATAGAAACAAAAGGGCTTTCCTATCCTGGCATGGCTTGTCTAAAAGCTTCTGGAAAGTTCCATTAAGTGGGAAACCTTCTGACCTCACTGCGTGCCTTGATCCCTGGGCTCTCCTGTGGTGACCGGAGTTTGTTTTTGGTAATTACCTCTTCTCTTTTGTGAGAAACCTGATTCCTGCCTGCTCCTGTTGCCTTCTTGCCTTCTATGGGTCTCCCGGGGAAACAACACAGGCAGGTGGAGTCTTGCAGCAGAATTGCAGTAAAAGCTCTGATGGCGCCTGTTCTCAAGAGCTGAGCAGAATTTTTGGTATGGTCAGCATTCAGAGAGGGTGCCTCAAGGGCTTTCTAAGTACCTTTATGAGAGAGCGTCTGGGTAAATATTCTCATCTTTCTTATCTTAGTCCCCTTTCATTTTATGTCTTTTAAATTCAACCACAGTCCTGAAAAACAAAATTGGAATGATTTTTGCCCAAGTGTCCCATTTTGTTCCGCAACGTCAGTGATTTGGCTCATACAAAGAGAGTTTTGTGGTTTGAGCGGTTAGATTATTTGGGAAACATTCTGCTCTTGTTACAGATGGATCTCCATCCTCTCCCAGCTTAGATCCCAGTCTTGCCACCAAGCCAAGTCAGAAGAGACGGCCACCATGCTGTCAGACACCGCAGCCAGGTGTCAGGACCCTCAGCCCTCCCATATTCCACTGCCATTAGCCACACCGTGGAGACGCGTCTTTGCCTTAGAAAGCCCTCAGAGCACCCACAGATCCCGCACCCCCAGCCCCAAGGAAGGATTAGCCATGACAGAGAGTATAGCTCTGGGTAGCCTCAGCCTTCCTGTCACAACCATGGTTGGTGATTGAGCGGTATCTAGGGCCTGTCACTTTTACTGGGGATGTCAAAGAAGAATCAGGGAACTTGACTGAACTGGAAAGAAGAGATCACAGTTCTCTGTCATCCTTCCCTACCATCTCCATTAGCTGTGCCAGAGCATTTATGCCTTGATCAGTGACCCATCTCCTGCCAGGTTCAGTAGGGCCCCTGGGCCTGGCCAACTGGCCGCCATGTCTCAGAGTAGCCGAAGAGGCCGGTCTGGGTCACAGGCATCTCCTGGTGGAATTCTTTACACGGTGTCCCCACTCTCCAGCTTATACATACCAAATTGAACTCTCTTGCAGTGATGGAGACCACACATTCCATCCTGCAAACTCTTATAGACAACAGAAGGCTGGAGGAAGGACTTGGACCACCCCCAGAAAGCCCTCAGGGAGTGAGGCTCCTGCAGCTATTTATCGTGACTGAAGACACCACGGCATCTGCCCACCCTAAAATGGTGCTTTGTCTCTTCTCCATCGAGGCCCAGTTGGCACCTTCCCTTCTCTCCACAGACCTCCAGGACTTCAAGTTGGACGTGCAGCACGTGATTGAAGTAGATGAGGGGAACACAGCAGTCATTGCCTGCCACCTTCCTGAGAGCCACCCAAAAGCCCAGGTCCGATACAGTGTCAAGCAAGAGTGGCTAGAGGCATCTAGAGGTGAGTGAGCAGGTGGGGAAGCTGACCACCTCTGCCTACTGCCTCCCCAACCCCCATCAACATGCCCTCCGCCCCCTCCTCACCTCACTGGTCAGCGGTCTTCTGCCTTGCTACATAGCCCTGTAGGATCCTAAAGGGATTGGTTTCCATAATGGAGGTCTTCTGCCCTGTTGAGAGGAATGTCTTCATCCTCTGAGGCTCTGGAAGATGTTGCTGAGCTGTCACCATTTGATCAAGACTGTCAGCACAGGGTTCTGGATTCCCTGCCACCAGGCACACACAGCAAGGCGGCCTGACGAACCCAGCCATCCGTGGGGCTGCAGGGTTGCCCAATGGGAGGTGGAGCTCTTTCCCATACAGCAGAGGAAGCGTGTCAGTGGGACTTGGGTTTTTCCCTCCCCATCTTCCTGGTAATGCGGCTGTCTCAGCTGTCTCGGCTGTCCTAGCGTCCTGCTCAGGCCACGGCGTACATGACAGCTGGGCTAGGAGAGGCCATTCTGTGGTCCACAGAATGCCAGGGAGGAGATGGGATGTCTGTCAAGATGAAAACAGCTTCTTCCCATAGTTGACCATTCACTGAAGGCCAAGTAGACCCTGCTTAACTGAACCCATAGCTCAAAATGTATTCCTTTTAGAATATTCTATAGATACTTAAATATTTTCATTACATTTTTCTGGTTATAAAGGAATATATGTTCCTGTATTCCTATGAGGAATATATATGTTCACTATAGAAAACGCAGAAAACTATTTTTTGAAAGGGTAAAACCCCTAATCCTGCCATTCAGAAATAACTGGAAACTAAGAGGAATAGAGAATTAATCTCCACTGTCTCTAGCAGAAGCTTGGCTATAGCCTCTGGAGGAAGCCCCATAGGAATCAGGGGTTTTTCCCATTCTGTCAGGCATTAACTAAGCTGCTCATACCTGGGGCGGCCCAGTGACAGGCAGGCACCAAGCTCAGTGAACCCAGATTTCGGAGACACCAGGACCCCCCTGGGGCAGGCCAGGCCACCAGAGAGCTCAGAGCTGATGGCCAGTGCTTTGCCTACCAGGAAGCTGAACACCATCCCAATCACTGGGGCGTCCAAAAGCCACGGATCTGTCTCCTGTTGAAAGAAGCAGAACACAGCCCTGGGGCCAGGCCCCCATGGCATCCCTGGTCCCAAAGCAGACAAAGTCCAGCGAACCAGTGATGCAGAAGAAGGGTTTCAGTGACATTCATGGAGAAGGTGGCGGTTGGGAGTTAGAACATCCTCCCTGGTTGCAGAAATTCAACAGTGAGGTGGCTCAGAGCCGTGACCCTGACAGAGACTCATGGGAAGTTATAAATTTATTTCCCTCCTTCCTGGTGGCTTGCAGGAATGACCCTCTCATCTCCCACGTGTACAGCATGGGCCCCTCCACCCTTACAGTGGCACTGAGGTGGCACGTACCGTACCGCTTTACAGATGCGGAAACAGGATCGAAGAGGTTAATCAGCTTGTCCAAAATCCCACAGGGCATGGCAGATCCAAAGCTTAAGCCCAGGTCGGGCAGACCCCAAATCTTGCTTCCTTTCCACCCTACTCCCTTGAAAGTATAAAGTGTTCGTTCTTTCATAGACCTATGTACTAACACAGGGGACTTAGCCGGTTTGTCAGCTGATTGATGAGTTTTACTCTCTGGCATTTCTGTCCCCTTGATTTGAGGTTTTAGGGGGAGAAGAGCACTTTCCAGTTCGGGCTTATTGGGATTCAGGCGTACAGCTCATGGTTCCGGCCCTGCCTGCCCACTGGGAACTACCAGCTGCAGCGTTCTGGGCCAGACTCATGCCACGTCCCCTCACCCTGCCGTTTTCTCAGATAACTACCTGATCATGCCGTCGGGAAACCTCCAGATTGTGAACGCGAGCCAGGAGGATGAGGGGACGTACAAGTGTGCGGCCTACAACCCAGTGACCCAGGAAGTGAAAACCTCGGGCTCCAGTGACCGGCTGCGCGTGCGCCGTAAGGGGCGGGGCGGGGCGGGGCGGGGCGGGTCTCACTGGTGGGAGGGGCTGGTCGGGCTGAGAGGGAGGGCATTCAGCGCAGGCGGGGCACAGGCCAGGCGCCAGGTCTGTGTTCTCTGGGGCGGGCCAGCGGGGTACCCAGGACTCAGATGGAGTGGGGTGCTCTCCCCTCTGGCGGCACGTGTCCCCTGCCTAGCGCCGGGGGCAGCTGTGCTTGCTGGTCCCTTTCTCCTGCCCATTGGGAGCTCTCCTTCACGGTGAGACTTGGAGAGCGCGGATCTGTTGGGATGTGGCTGCCGGCGCCGGACAGCCTGGTGCTCAGCAGCCGCCAGCACGTGCCCAGGAAAGAGATGCGCTTGTGCCTGTGTGAGGCCACAGGGCGGGCCTACCCTGTGCGCCGCTGAGGTGTGCCCCCCACCTCCCCCGGTGATGGTCCGTGGGGGCCCCCACGCTCCCCCAGCTAGATGAAAACAACGTGCGCCTTTGCCGAGCATTTCCTGGGGGCCAGGCACTTCTCTAGGCTTCCGGCTTATTCGGCGGGGGGACGTCTTATGTGAAGTTTGGTCTTAGAGGCAGCACCAGGGGCAGATGTACCGTGTAGCCAATGAAGCCAAACCTCAGCAGTCCCTCAGCCACGGGATTTTGTATCCGTAGTTGTGCATTCTGGTTCTTAGAGAGGGCCTCCCAGCTGTGTGAGTCTCAGGTCTTCCAAAACCCAGATCTGCCTGCCCCTGCTTGGCACCTAAAGCAGAATCGCGCAGGCCAGCGTAGAGGGAGGGGCCGCTGGAGGGCAACCTGCCTTCCAGTAAGTGCTATGCCGTTTCTCCCCCGGCGCTGGCAAAAGATCACTCCTTCCTTAGCTGAGCAGCCGAGCCAGAAGCTGATTTGCTTTGGGAACCTGTGATACTGTACAGCTAAGGAAGGAAATGCATGTCTTTAAACTGTGGGTCCCGCTCAGCTCCGTGAGCTGCTCACACCGGGAGTGATGCTGAGAACCGAGGCCTATGGGTGGTGTGGGGGATACCGTGGATCCTTGTCTCCTAGCTCATCCTTCGACTTGGGATGCACTTGCTGAGTGCAAGCAGGAAAAGTCACCTACACCATTTGTTTCTCTGTCCACCCCCTCATCTTTTTCTTTGCCAACATGCATAGTTATTCATACGTATGTTGTGTCGATGCTGCTATTCCAGTATATTACCTCATCGCTTACAACAGCTCTCTGCAGAAGGAGGGCCTTGTTTTTGATAAAGAAACCAAGGCCCAGGGGAATTCAGTAACTTGCCTCACTTTATGTAGGTCATAAGCCCCTGAGGGGCTGTTTGATTCCAAGTCCACACTGTCTGGGACTGCCTCCTGGGGCCTGGCCACCTAAGGCGGGATGGAGGGGATCCTCTGCACTGAGTCCTGGTCCCACATGCTGCCCTTTACCTCCCGGCCCCTCCAGGTTCCACTGCCGAGGCTGCTCGCATCATCTACCCGCCAGAGGCCCAGACCATCATCGTCACCAAGGGCCAGAGTCTGATCCTGGAGTGTGTGGCCAGTGGGATCCCACCCCCACGGGTCACCTGGGCCAAGGATGGGTCCAGTGTCGCCGGCTACAACAAGACACGCTTCCTGCTGAGCAACCTCCTCATCGACGCCACCAGTGAGGAGGACTCAGGGACTTACCGCTGCATGGCCGACAACGGGGTTGGGGAGCCTGGTGCAGCAGTCATCCTTTATAACGTCCAAGTATTTGGTGAGTGTCTCCTGCAGACTTTCTTCTCCTCGGTCTTCTCTATTGTCGGTGGGCTCTTTCTAGATGCTCCTAACTCCAAGGCTCAGACAGGGTCAGGTGCCTTGTGAGAGGTCCCATGCCCAGTGAGTAGTGGAAGAGGACGGAGAGAGTTGGGCATGCTTGGATCCCAGGGGCCAGGGTACAGGCCTGGCATTTCTCTCTAGCCCTTTCGTGTCATGACTGACAGAAGAGACCCAAGAACCTTACCTTCCTTCTACCGACAGGGGGTGGAGGGACCCATTCCTGACTACAGATCCCTCTCCAGCCTGTCTGGTCCCAGATGGGAAGACCTCAGCCTTTCTTACCCCTACTCTGATTTCCTGGCAGAACCCCCTGAGGTCACCATGGAGCTGTCCCAGCTGGTCATCCCATGGGGCCAGAGTGCCAAGCTCACCTGTGAGGTGCGTGGGAAGCCCCCGCCCTCTGTGCTATGGCTGAGGAATGCCGTGCCCCTCGCCTCTAGCCCGCGCCTCCGACTGTCTCGCGGGGCCCTGCGGGTGGTCAGCGTAGGGCCTGAGGACGAAGGCGTCTACCAGTGCATGGCTGAGAACGAAGTTGGGAGCGCCCATGCCGTGGTCCAGCTGAGGACCTCCAGGCCAGGTGAGTGCAGCCCAAAAGGCTGGAGATCTCAGCTGCACATTCACGGAGCTCTTTCCTCAACTGAAATCCAACTTAGAACCCCGATATATGAAATAGATAAAAGTGGCTTTTAGTTGTGAGTTTAAGCTTACATTAACTTATTTAAAAGTCAGAAGTGTACATTTTCGCTAGTGGAAGTGATTCGTTTTACTGTTGTATTTTTTAAAGGTTTTTTTTTTTTATTCATTTGAAAGAAAGGGAGAACGAGTGCACATGAGCAGGGGGAGGGGCAGAGGGGGAGGAAGAGGGAAAGAATCCCAAGGAGACTCCTCATTGAGCGCAGAGCCCAACTTGGGGCTCGATCCACAACCCCAAGATCATGACCTGAGCCAAAACCAAGAGTCGGACATTCAACCGACTGAGCCACCCATGCGCCCCTTTACTGTTGTATTTTTAAAAATGCTTTTTATTTTGTGGAATCTGTGGGTTCCTAAGGTTCCGTGACATCTCGTAGAGTAAAGAAAAGCAGGTCTGTCCTTTTCAGCCTGATTCGTTTCAGTTGGTACCTGTACTGACTGATAAGTTACTATGTGCTCAGCACTGGACTAGATGGTGGGGGGTGCAAAGAAGCACAACAAAGATTCCACTTCCTCATGGAGGAGACCAAATTCACCAAGGGAGTAATTTGATAACGCTGAATCCACATGATCAGACGCCAACCTTCTGTGGCGCAGGAGGTCGGGGAGAGGAACTAGCACTGGCAGATGCTGCAGATGCCTCCTGAGGGGGCTGCTGCCTCTCCTGGCCTATCGGATTCTCAGACGGGGTTACAGCCGGCTTCCCGTCTCACATGCCAGGCTGCTGCAGTGGAGTAGGAAAAGGCTGCATGCTGCTAAGACCCCACAGTGAAGGGACATGTCCCCCACCCCAATAGAGGCGTAAGGAGGAAGGTGCAGCGTTCCTCGGGAGTAAACCGAACCATCACTTGAGGTGAGGCTAGTGCATGGGCTCAGGAAAGCAAGCAGATTGCCGAGATGCCTGCCTGCCGCCCGGGGCCATGCCGAGAAGCCCGGGCACAGGGCGCCAGGCTGCCCATCTCTCCTGACCGGGCAGTGATGCAGCCCTCTCTCTTCCCACAGAGCCTGGCTATGTGTGCAGTGGGCTGATGGTCACCTCAGGCTCTGAGCTGGGGGCTCTTCCTGTCCCCACAGGAAGACTCACTCATCTCTGTCTTCTCCCTGGGGCCAAGAATTCAGCCAATGACCAGGGGAACTAACATCCTCTTCCTTCCCTTCTCTTTCCTTCTTGGTCCTCCAGGTACAACCCTGAGGCCATGGCAGGACGCTAAGCTGGACACTGCCACCCCTTCCATGCTGCCTTCCAGACCTGGAAGCCCTGACCAGATGCTAAGGGGGAGCCCAGGGCTCCCAAAGCCCCTGACATCAGTGCAGCCACCTTCCCCACAGTGCCCCGGAGAGAAGGGGCAGGTGGCTCCTGCCGAGGCGCCCATCATCCTCAGCTCACCCCGGACCTCCAAGACGGACTCCTATGAGCTGGTGTGGCGGCCTCGGCACGAGGGTGGCGGCCAGGCGCCAATCCTCTACTACGTGGTGAAACACCGCAAGGTATGGTGCCTGGCATTGTGCGGACCTCTCAGACCTGGGCAGGGGTTTCTGCCTGCTAGCCATCTCCCCTTGAGTTCCTGCAGCCTGGACCAGCAATCTCTACTGCTGCCCTTGACCTTCTGTCTCCTCCGCTGTACTTTCCTGCCACCTCCCAGGAAGTTGCTTGTGAGTTGAGGCATGTTGGGCCTCCCTAACAGGCCCAGGAAAAAGTCGTGTGTGCTCCTTCAGGTTCTCTGCGAGCTGGTTTCCCAGAAGCTACCACCACCAACTTCTCCTCTCCAGGGGAGAGTGAACAGTCTCCCCGTTCACCATCACCTGCCCTCCCCCCCACCCCGTCATTTGTCGTTGATGTTGTTTTTTATTTTGTTTTTTAACCGAAGCAAGCTCCACTGGGCACATACCTGCAGGGACTCCACATGGCAAGCTAGCTGTAGGGCCAGGAAAACAAATATTTGTGAACAAGTGTTTTCTCTGAGGACTGTAAAATACCCCCTCAGTTTTCAGGATCCCTCATGGCTCGGCTTTGACAAGCGGGCGTTGGAGGTGAAAGCACATCATGTTGCTCAAACCTCAGCTGTTTCTCCTTGACAGGAGGCCTGTCCAGGTGGAGGTTTCGGGAGCTAACAGGGAGGGGACCTCTGGCTCTGGCAGGCTGTGGGGACAGCGGCCAGGCCATCCTCTTGGACACGGTGTCCTGTGAGGCAAGATAGGGCCGTGAGCTCACCTGCTGTTACCCCATAGGGAGAAGGACATAAGGTTCCCTTTAAGAAATGTCCTGGAAGAGCATTTCTGTTCATCCCAGATGTGTGCTGCTTTTTCTTTCTTTTTTTTTTTTTTAATATTTTATTTATTTATTCATGAGAGACAGAGAGAGAGAGGCAGAGGGAGAAGCAGGCTCCCAAGGAGCAGGGAGCCCGATACGGGACTCGATCCCAGGACCCTGGGATCATGACCTGAGCTGAAGGCAGACACTTAACCATCTGAGCCACCCAGGCGCCCTGTGCTGCTTTTTCTAAGACCATTAGATGGTAGAAAATTATTGTTCTTAAATGGATTTTTTTTAATGTTTTTCGATAATGTATTATAGGTGCTATATTTTATATACTAAAAGTATTTAGCAACTCTTCTCCCCCTCCAAAACCAAAAAACGAACGCAGCCCTTTGCAGTGTGGCATGTCGGCTGGGCGGTAGCCCTTTCCCCTGCCCTGGACCCCGCCAGCCCCTCTCATTCTGTTCTTTCCCTCTGTGACCTTGGCTCAGGACAAGTCCGCAGACACACTGGCTCGTCGGAAAGACACCTGAGGCAAAACTGCCTCCTAGGTGGGGGTTGGGGTGCAATTTTTCACTAACACTCAGCCTGCTGGCCTCTTCATAGCCAGCCAGCAAAGCGGGTGAATGTATTTGTAACAAAAAGCTGCATTGTTCTGCCCAGTTTCTGGGGCAGGGCTGGTCCTAATCCTTGTTTCCCCATGTAACTAGACACCTCCATCTCGAGTTGTAGACAGAGATCAGGGCAGGCCAAATGCTCACAGTCCCCGGGAGACAAGAACCAGCAATGAGAACAAGAATCATATTTTTCAGGCCAATAGGTGGCCATGGAACTGCCTTACCAAGAGGCAGGCTGGCAAAGGCCGTGTGTGGTGATCCGGAAATGCCAGGCCGAGGCCGCATTCACCCCGTGTGCGTGTGACAGTGACTAATGACCAGGCTGTTCCTTAGTTTTGTTTTGGAGCCCAGGGCAGCGTGAGGCCAGCGCCGGGAGGGCCAAGGGAGAAAAGGGGTACAGGGAAAGTGAGAGGGCTGTGCCCCCGCTGGGCCTGGCTTTGGTTAGGCTCCAGCCTCTGGGGCACTTGGGGCTGCTAGGTGGACACAGCCAAGACAGGAATTATGTCTTGCAAGCAGGGCCTTTTTCGAAGGACTAGCAGGTCTTAAGGATCGTCACACAAGAAAGGATTTTGAAGGGAAAAATGAGTGTTTAGGTTGTGTTTCCAGCCCCTTCTCTTGCAGGAGACTGGGAATCACTCAGCTTATTTTCACTTTTTCCCATTCGTGAAGCCAGTTTCACTTCCTGCCGCATCTGCAGACCTTGGGCTACTGTGTCTGGGTTTCCAGTACTACTGAGGATTCACAGTTTGTAAAAACTTCTTCCCTTGGAACAAATCCAGGAAGTCAGACATAAATGAGCCCAGACCATCCCTGTCCCTTGAATAGAAGGTTTTGTTCTACTTCGGAATATTCTGCTTAGGGATAAGGGCTTTTCCTACCAGCTGTTTAATTCTTGAGCAAACCACAGCTCAGGTCCCTGCAGACTCTGTGAGATGTGCACTGTTGGCAGTTAAACTTTTTGTCCTGAAAGGTAGGGTAGGTGAGATGAAGCAGCCTCTCGACATCACCTGTTGGGGAGGGAGCCTGGATTTTTTAATGTAAAGAGCTAGGAATTTGGGGCCATTAAAGCTTAATCCATAATAGTTACAATTCATCCGCAGTTTTTAAGCACAAAGCAAGGCGTGAGGACAGGAGTGGAAAGAGGAGGATCAAAATGGCAGCAACCCACCGAGTGGAGGATGTGGGGCGAGTCCGGAGAAGGGGCCAGGCCCTCGCTGGGAACCTACTGTGTCCCAAGTTCAGTGCCTGACACTTTATATACATCATCTCGTTTAATCCTCAGAAAAAACTGAGAGCTTTTATTTGACTCCTTTTAGAAATGAAAACCTTAGGGATCAGAGAGGTTAGGGAACTGGCTCAGGGTTACACAGCTGTATTTAGAGACACAATCAGGATTTAAACCCAAGATTTTCTGGCTCCCAGACTTTCTTTCTTTCTAGGATGAGTAGCGTATGATTATGAATGTGCCCTCTGGAGTCAAGTCATGATTTTTGCACTCACTAGCAAGGTAGCTGTAGACAGATTACTCCTCTCTCCAAGCCTTGGCATTTGTGAAGCAGGAAAAAAACTAGCACCTGTCTCTTGGTCTGTTGTCATGAAAGCTCTTCATAGGGCCTGTAAAGTGCTTGCTTCCATGCTGAGCACACAGTAAGCACTCAGCAACCGAGATTCTTTCTACTGGTGCTGCTGCTTTTATCCTCCTAATCATCCTCCCAGAACATAAACTTAAGGGACTGTGTTTATTTGGTTTAAATAGAGCAAGGAGAAAAAAAGTTAAATGCGGAGGTTTTCAGAAATACAGATAGGAGGTATTTGGAGAAATTCTCAGCTATGAGAGGCATGTCGACCCTCCCCACTGAATTTTCTTTGATGGGATGGTTAAATGAGGGACCAGGGAGCCTACTTCACTGTCCCAGTGAGGATAGAAGTTCCAGAGCCTGCAGGACCAGTCTGCGCTCAGGAGCACCACCCCTCCCCAAACCCGGCCCACTGTCCTTCCCTTCCTTCTGCCCTGCTGGACTCCATTCTGCTTTTTCCACAAACCACGGCCAGTTTGGGCCAGTTCTGATAGCAGCTACCTTCTTCAGCAGGTCACAAACTCCTCTGACAATTGGACCGTCTCCAGCATTGCAGCCAGCCAGCACCGCCTGACCCTCACCAGACTCGACCCTGGGAGTTTGTATGAAGTGGAGATGGCAGCTTACAACTGTGGAGGCGAAGGCCAGACAGCCATGGTCACCTTCCGAACTGGTAAGAGTCACACATTGCCCCCAGCTCGGGGTTTTGTGGGCCTGAGCAAATCCTGCCAGGCCCAGGAGGGGAAGCCCTGCTCACCTTGGCCCAGCTGTTCACCTTGAACTTTATCTTCCTTTCAGCTGTTGCCTCCCATGTGGTTTATGAGCCCAGGCTGAGGTCCTGTGTCTCATCAGGAGAGCTGCCAGCTGACCTCTCTGGCCACCGCCCCCCTTGCATACCCGTGTGTGTACCCACACACATGCACACACACACACACACACACAGTCGCACGCTGGGGCCAGGCACAGTACCATAATGGTCAGGCAGAGCTAGGAATCCGACCACACTGCCAATGTCCTGTATGATTTGCATCACCTTGTTAGACGCCCCCCCAGCAGAGTCTCAGGCTCAAAGAACTCTCTGGAAAGGGAGACCTAATACATGCTCCCCCATCCGCTGGTTTCGATCCCATTTCCCTCCAGGACGGCGGCCCAAACCTGACGTCATGGCCAGCAAGGAGCAGCAGATCCAGAGAGACGACCCCGGAGCCAGCCCCCAGAGCAGCAGTCAGCCAGACCACGGCCGCCTCTCTCGTAAGCCCCCAGCAGCTCAGAGGGGCGGGAGCGAGCAGGAGTCAGGACTGGAACCAGGCCCACCGCCTCAGAAGGCTCACTGCTGCAGGTGGAATGGGGTCTTATTCCGTGGGTCCGGGAAGCCTTATGATATTTTCCTGGCATCTCCCCAGCCAACCCCAATAAGAAAACGTAGATTAGAGTTTTTCAAGTAAAATGTTAGTCTGACATGGGGGGTAAGGATTGCTAACCCTGTGGGTCCAGACAGCACAGAGGAGAGAGCCACAGGCTCTGGGCCCTCCACAGTCCGACATTGCAGAAGCATGGTTCTAGGGGCCCTAGCTCAAGGGCTTCTTCTGGGAGAAGGTGACCCAGGTAGCTCTGGAAGATCTGATACGGCCACCAGACGGGGAAGGTTGGTGGGGGCAGGTAACAGGCCCCAGTCAGGAACAGGCCAAGTCCAATTGCAATACAACTACCTTATCGTGTCCCTCCTGCTTCCTTCTTCCCTCACGTATGGTTTCCTCCAGCCCCTGAAGCTCCAGACAGACCCACTATCTCCATGGCCTCTGAGACGTCAGTGTATGTGACCTGGATTCCCCGTGGGAATGGTGGCTTCCCAATCCAGTCCTTCCGTGTGGAGTACAAGAAGCTAAAGAAAGTGGGGGACTGGATTCTGGCCACCAGTGCCATCCCTCCTTCCCGGCTCTCAGTGGAGATCACTGGCCTAGAGAAAGGTAGGGGTCTGGCCCCTGTCCCACCTGGTCCTCCAGCTGTCCCCGACCCCTCAGAAAACAGTCAAAACTTTGGAGGCTCTTCTTTCTGCTGGTCTGCGCCCCCCCATCTTGCGTACATGGATGCTCTTGGTGGTGTCCCCTCCATCCTACAAACCCTTCCTTATCTTCCCTCTTTCCATAAGAGGTCCATAGCTCTCCCCTCTGTGGCTCCTTTCTGAAGAAGATGGGAGTTCTTGTGTCCTTTGGGGACTGGCGTTTGGGGAAGGGCTACCCAAAAGATCCCTCCAGGTTCTGGGTGTGCTGGGTGGGGGTGGGTCAGAAGAGTGTTTTCGAGCTCCTGGGTTCAAGTGAGTGTCTCTTACCAGGCACCTCCTACAAGTTCCGTGTCAGGGCTCTGAACATGCTGGGGGAGAGTGAGCCCAGCGCCCCCTCCCGGCCGTATGTGGTGTCGAGCTATAGTGGCCGTGTGTACGAGAGGCCTGTGGCAGGCCCTTACATCACCTTCACTGATGCTGTCAACGAGACCACCATCATGCTCAAGTGGATGGTAAGTGGCCTCGCACAGAGTGCAACGGGGAGACGGGGCCTAGCTTCATGATGACAGGGGCTGGCTGCTGCAGCAGGAGCAGGAAGGAATCACTTTTCTGCCCTTCTAAGATCCTTCCCCTTAAGTGGCCACCTCCCAAACCCCCCATACCTGGGAATTGAGCCAGAGAGCCTCATCCTTATGGTACCCAGGCAGGTTTAGAGGGGACTTACATCTTTGGAGAAATGGCCATTTCTGGTCTCCAAGAGCTGGGGGACCTTTAGGCTAAATAACAAGTGATCTTACAGCCTTCCCCCAGAAAGCCTTGGAAATATCAGCAGAAGTATTTTCTAGGCTCCCTCAGTGAATTTTTAAACTCCAGGCTGGGGTAAAATTTCTATCCACCAGTGCTTCTATTCACATGATTTCTCTGCTCCATGGGCAACTTGTTTTTCTTCTCCATTCCCTATAGTATATTCCAGCAAGTAACAACAACACCCCAATCCATGGCTTTTATATCTATTATCGACCCACAGACAGTGACAATGATAGTGACTACAAGAAGGATATGGTGGAAGGTAAGCAGCACCTCAGGTGAAATGGCTTTCTCTGTTGGCAAGGGGGGCCTAGGTGTTGGTGAAAGCATAAAACCTGGGCTGGTGGGCCACAAAGCATCCATGCGCATATCATGGACCCGTGACACACCTAGGGTCATCAAGATCATAAACCCACATGCTTCCTTTCCTCCAGTGCTCCTCCGCCCCAGGGTGCCCTGCGGCATTCACAGCACCAGCCCAGACACACACACCCCTGTCCGAGTCCAACTGTGACTGGTTCCAGACAGACCAGATGCATATCACTACGTGCGACTTTCTTGCTTTGTTTGCCAGGGGATCGATACTGGCATTCCATCAGCCACCTGCAGCCAGAGACCTCCTACGACATTAAGATGCAGTGCTTCAATGAGGGTGGGGAGAGTGAGTTCAGCAACGTGATGATCTGCGAAACCAAAGGTGATTCTCTAGGCTCTCTGCTCTCCTCTTGCTATTCCATGTGGCCGGCTGGTAACTCTTCCCCATGAAGACGCCTTATTTGCTAAGTACTCCTAAGCCTTGCCATTTTTAACCCTTCTGTTCATTTTCCTGGGCCTCAGCTATGAATAGGGTTGCCATCCTGATGGCTTAAAGGAGGTGGGGAATTAACTCATACGTGATGAACTCATGGAATAGAACCCATCCTTAAGGTCAGAACTTTCTATAAACACTATAGTCCGATAAATTTTGGTACTTACATTGGTTGGTTTACTGAATTTAACTACAATTCCATGGCGTAGGAAAGAAACTGAGCAAGTTCACTTAGCCAGTTAGGGGTGGAGCACACTTTGGGCCCAATTCATCTAACGACAAGCCTGGATTCTTTCTCTGCACTGAAGCATGTTAAACATCTCCACATAATAACTTGTTAATATTTGCACCTTGGTCAAGTGGATAGATACCACCATCTCCATTTTGCAAATATGGAAACGTCTAACGGAGGTATATTGCAAAGAACAGAATCAGGAGAGGATCACAAAGGAATAGGAATGGAGACAAAAAAGAGTCCATTTTCCCGACATTGGCAACATTGTCTCTCTAGCTTTGCGCTGCTTTCCTCCCCTATTCAACAAAGGCGGAGTGCCCCCTGTGTGCACTCCCTGCCCGCTTCCCCCCTGTGCAGGGAAGGGAGGGGCTGGAAGTCCTGCAGCACGTGGCACACAGAGTGCCCGGGGCAAAGAGCAGAGGCTTTACCCCGGCTCCTAGGGCTTGAAGCTTCAGGTGGGTCTAGCCTGGGGCACAGGGTCTGCCCGCAAGTAGCGCCCGGTGGTTGGAGGGTGTGGCATCTAGAAGGAGAACGAGAGAGGGAATGCTCAGGGAAGGGCCCGGGGGTTCCGTGGGCATTGGATCATCAAGGACCCTGTGGCCGTGGGGTCGAGAGGGCTTCCTGGTGTCTCTGCAGGAGCGGGCTGGGGGAGAGCGCGGCGCCTGTGAAGTATGGGCGAAGAGAAGGGACGAGTTGGAGTCTGTCCTGAGGATGTGGGGGTAGGACCAGGGCCCGCTAGCACATCGGGGCCGGGGGAGAGTGAGGGGAGTTCAGAGTGAACTCAGAGTGAGGTGTCTAGCACAAAGTGCGCAGGGATGATGTTGCCATTTATTGAAGTGGGGAAGCCAGAAGAGCAGCAGAGCCCAGGAGAAGGGAAGGAGCAAGGGGAAACCACTCAGAGACTTCCTGGGGCTGATTCTTCCGAGACCCTGAAAGAGAAGCAGGTCTGTCGGCAGGGGAGGGCCCCGGGCACAGGGACTTGGCAGCCATCAGGACACAGGACAGAGTAGAGAGAGTGTGGCCTGAGAGGGTCGAGGAGGGCTGGCAGTTCTGAGGAGAAGACAGAAAAAGGCAAGCGGCAGCCCTCGGAGAGGTAGCGGGAGATCCCCGTGCTGTCAGGGTCGAGAGGCAGACGGCTGTGCACGGGAGTTAACAGGTCAGACAGGTCAGACGCAGCCCGCTACTAGCATGAGCCACAGGAGGAGCCGCCGTCATGTTGGAGAAGTGGTGGTTCCCGGTTACTGAATGTCCTAGCGCGTCTCCCCACCTCCATCTCCCTGCTCTGCGGCCAGGCTCAGACCTAGGACTTTGCATCCCTTATCTGCCCAGGAATAGCAAATCCATGGGTAAATTCTGCCATTCCCAGTTCTTTTGCTGGTTTCATGCATTTTTTTTAAAGATTTTATTTACTTGAGAGAGAGAGCAGGAATGGGGTGAGGGGCAGAGGGAGAAGCAGGCTCCCTACTGAGCAAGGAGCCCGATGCGGGGCTCGATCCCAGCATTCCGGGATCATGACCTGAGCCGAAGGCAGACGCTTAACTGACTGAGCCACTCAGGTGCCCCTCATGCATTTTTTTTTTTTTTTAAAGATTTTCTTCCAAAAGTTCACCGGCTATTCTCTGAGAAAAGCCCTACACCTCTTCTGCCCAAAAGACCCAGTCTGATTCAGTGCTTGGCTCACAAATATCTCAGGTTGTATTTTGAAATAGAAGGTTCAGTTCCCTTCAGCAATACCAAATCTCCCATTAGAGGCCAGTTTCATGCTGAGCTTGGACACCGCACTCATCTAATACAGAGTTTGAGGCACTGCCTTGTGAGTTTGACCCCATTTCCCAGTCCCACGGAATCAGGTTTGTTGTTGGTGCTGTTTTTTGTTTGTTGGGAGGGAAATGTCAAATAATCGATGCTGAAGTGAGTTTTGTCCACAATTACAGCCCGGAAGTCTTCTGGTCAGCCCGGTCGGCTCCCACCCCCAACTCTGGCCCCACCTCAGCTGCCACCCCCGGAAACCGCAGAGCGGCCTGTGGGCACCGGGGCCATGGTGGCACGCTCCAGCGACCTGCCCTACCTGATTGTTGGGGTCGTCCTAGGCTCCATCGTCCTCATCATTGTCGCCTTCATCCCCTTCTGTTTGTGGAGGGCCTGGTCTAAGCAAAGTGAGTGAGTGACCCCACCTCGGCACCTCGGGGAGGAGCCCAGGGAGGGGAGGAGGCGCCCTGCTTCGCATTCACTAGAGCGTAAGCTCCTGGGTCCCCCCACAGGGCTCAGAGAGAGAAAAATACGCCACGCCCAGGCCCTTTCCTCCCAGTTCATGGGCCTTGGCAGATGGAAAGCATGCAGTGGAAAGTGGTCTGTCTTCTCTGAGTCTCTGGAGCTCGGTACTTATCTGGCTCCAGCTCCTTTCCATGTCTGAAGCTGCTGCCCTGACCACATGTTCGTGTTGCAAATGGACCCCTGTCCTCCCTGCTGCTTCTCTGGGCCTGCGGATGCCTTGAGCTTCCCCTCTTAGCCTGTTACCCACTAATTTCTGCTTCAAATGGCAACACGTCTGGGCAACTTGCCTCATTTAAATATTGCTTCTGTTGGCTCACCACTTCTGGCCCCTGTATCTCCTCACCCTTCTCCCCACTGCAGAAAAGAGTTAAATGTTAGAAGTGGGTGACTGGAAGAATATTCGGAGAGAGAATATTCTCATCCCTGAGGCAGCGTCAGTTCCCTGCGTACCTCATTTTACCCAGTGTAGTCAGAAGTTTTCTGAGCTTTCTGTGGTACTGGAGGCTGCCCTGGGCCTCCTTGGCCTAAGCATACCTCTGTCCTTCTGTCGTTCCAGAACATACCACAGACCTGGGTTTTCCTCGAAGTGCCCTTCTGTCCTCCTCCTGCCAGTACACTATGGTACCACTGGGGGGACTCCCAGGCCACCAGGCCAATGGGCAGCCCTACCTCAGTGGTACCAGCAGCCGGGCCTGTGCCAATGGGATCCACGGGAACAGGGGCTGCCCTTGCCCTGCAGCTGCCCTGGGCTACCCAGGCGTGAAAGCTCAGCAGCACTGCCCAGGGGTGCTTCAGCAGGTAACGTAATCCCGGGAAGGTGGGCACATAGGTGCGGGCCAGCATGGGGGGTGTTGGGCTGCCTCCTGGGGCTTTCTCCCTTCCAGCCTCGAGTCCTGGGCTGCCGGGTCTGGCTCTCTTTGGTCAGGGAGGAACGGCTCGTTCTGTCGAACAGCGAGCAGGAAAGCTACCTGGACTCTGATGTGACCTCTTTGTGACTCTTTCTTTCGAGCAGCAGGAAGGCACCAGCGGCCCGCTAACGCAGGCCACTCTTGGCACCGGATATGACCGCCCCCGTCCCCAGCTTCCCAGGTAACCGGGCCTCTCCCATCCCTGCCTTCCGCTCCGGAGCTTTCTTTCCCGAGAGCTCCTCACGCCCAGGCTCAGGCGCTGAGGGGGGCCGGGGAGGGGGGCACATCTGACAGCCCGCGCCGCCGGACTCGCCTCCCAAGGAGCTGTTGTGTTTGCAGCTGTAACGCCCTTCCTGCTTTGCGGCATGGGTTGGCCTGTCAGGGTCCTGCCCTCGCTCGGCAGGCCAGAGCAGCCACAGACAACGGGCGCGGTCCACAGGCCCCTCGGCACCTGACTGCACGTCCTTTCACGCACCCAGACCTCTCACAGACAAAAACGGAAATAGACCAGCCTTACCCACGGAAGCGGTGGTATGGCACCTCTTACTGTTCAAGTGGTCAGCCCTGATGCCCTCAGACAGGGCGGTGAGCGGACGGCCCACGCGGCCCCCACCTCACTTCTCCACCTGGTCTCGTGCCCGCAGGGGTCCCAAGTCTAGCCCAGACGAGGGCTCTTTCTTATATACGCGGCCTGATGACTCAACTCACCTGCTGCTCCAGCCCCACCAAGACTGCCGCCGCCTCCAGGAGCAGCCCGCCGCCACAGGCCAGTCAGGCGCGAGGGACGTACCCCAGAGCCCTGGGCTGGAAGCCGCCTGGGACCCTCTTTTTCACCGAGGTTGGTGCCAGGGGCAGGGCAGGAAATTGCACAGGCTGGGGAGGCCATGAAGTAGGTGTCCTTAACCCCACAGTGGCCTCGAGAGGGGGAGAGAACAGTCCTCAAAGGTGGTGTTAAGAGCCATCCAACAGCTTTTCTATGGGAGAGACAGGGAGCGAGCCTGTGGGGGCAAACCAGGTGGGGCCGGCTCTAAAAAGCTGAGAAAAGGACACATCCCCATTTCAGAGAAAGAAGCCCTTTTGGTCTCGGCATCTTAAGACCATTCACAAATTCCTACCGCCTCTCATCACACCAAGAGGCATTCTCTAATCACCCCAAATACCTTGCTTTGTTGGGTCTTGTCTCTTAATTAAGGAATGAGATGACATCAGCCATTAAGCAACGGAGTTCTCACATCACCCTCCTAACTCTGTGCTTCCACAGAGCCTTTTCTCCGGGGCCTCAGTGCACACCGCCTGCCCCACAGTCCTTCGTGCCAGGCTCTTGGAAATCAGTGGACGCTTGGTTGGGGCCCATGCTGATTCGGACAATTGGCTAATGCTTCTTAGTTTCCATGGCATGAATGTCCGTTCGCATGCAGATCCTAGACTCTGTCTCTGGGAGATAAAATTCTAAGACAGCCACCTCCTAGAGCCAGACCCCAGCATCATCAAAACCGGACTCCATCTGGGGTGGGATGATTATGCCCAGAGAAATCATATCAGAGGGGTAGACTAGCAGCTTATGTCTGGAGAGAACAGGGCTCTCGTCACATTTCATGGGCTCAGCTGACTTCATCTGCTCCAGGGTATAGGCTTAGTTGCTTGAGAGTCTCGGGGGTTCCCTCACTGAAATGTGTAGGTGGGACATGGGTAACAAGTGCCCCCCCATGTCTCTGAGACCTGAGAACAGAAATGCCCTTGCCGTAGTTACGTGTTTCTGCCTCTTTTAGGGCTAGTATAACCAACTCCGTCACAGAGACTGGCCCAGTACCCTGAGCAACGGTCCCTGGTCAGTCTGGATTTTAATGTTTTCCATCTTTCTCTCCCCTCAGGGCCGCTGTGCTGCTTGGGCCTTGTACCGGTTGAAGAGGTGGACAGGCCTAACTCCTGCCAAGTGGGTGGAGGAGACTGGGGTTCCCAGCACCCCGCAGGGGCCTACCTAGGGCGGGAACTTGGGATGCAGCGCTCCCCCAGCTCACCAGTGCACGTAGCTTTTGAAACACCACCTCCTACAATTTAGGCCGAAACCAATACCCCAGAAAGACTCTATATTGTTTTTAAAAAGAGAAAATTGGTATTTATTTTTCTATAATAGCCATATTTATGTATTTATGCACTTGTAAATAAATGTATATGTGTTTTTATAATTCTGGAGAGACACAGAGAATCCTACCCATCGAGGTTTGAGGGGGAAATCAAAGAAGCCCCCGTAACAGGATTCCACCTGGCAAGAGTAACACAGACGGAGGCGGCAGCCCTTCACTGAGCGCCTCTGCCACCACCCAGGAGGCCGCACAAGGCCCCCAGAGAAGCTGCTGAGAGGACGAATCTTAGGCACACTGTCCATGACCAATGATGAGGGAAAAGCAAGGGCCCCGTCACAGGCTGGAGACACTCGTGAAGACGGCTGGACCGGGTACTACAGGAGACGTTTTCAGAAGATGCTCATGAGAATAGACTAAGATGTGTATAGTCCTATACGTATTAACAAACCTTCCAGAATCAATAATCTGTGGCAACCTATCTCTGTAAAAACAAACACTGTAACTTCTAAATAAATGTTTAGTCTTCCCTGTAACCTTCAACTTAGTCACATATGAGTCAGCATCCTCTTTAGATGTTAGGATTCAGTTTGAGTATTTGAAGAAAATCTCCACTTGTGGACATTTCAACTCTGTCAAGAGTCTGAGAGCTGGGAAAGGTAGCAGATGTCTAATTCTTTGTCTTTTTAAGTATTGTGTTAGTAACTGTTTAGTCCAAGAGGGAGACAGTGTGAAGTAGTTAAGCAGATTCACAGCTCTCTTACTGAATGGACTCGAGGTAAAGCTTTGGTCACAGAGATACGTGTGGAAGACTGAAGTATATTCTCCAGAATGCCGTTTAGTTAAACGCTAGGCTGCATGTGCATGTGCGGTGCCTGGTAAAACTCACTTTTCTTTCCAAAGATAGACCAACATTGCCAGAGGAGTTGACCCACTAGTCATCTAAAATCAACATTTACTTACTTCCATACAACCACAGGATCAACCTTTATACCTGCAACTGGCACTAGCTGGAGGCTGAAGCTTTGCACTGAAAGCCCTAACACTCAGCCGTTCTCAGGAGGGAAACTGTGTGCTAGATTTCAGCAAAGGTGAGTTACAGATGCAATGCAGCCTGAGACTCTCAATCTGGTTACGAGTCCTGGGGCCAGACGCACTCCACCCTAGTCACCCGTGGGAGAAACCAGATTCTCGGACAAGTGCACCCTCTACTGGCCAGAAGAGATACCAGGCCTGCGCTTACCTTTGTCGCATGCTTTTTCTGTCCGACAGCTAAACTGGGAAAAGCGTTCTCATCGAGATGCAACATGATCTTTAGAAAAGTTGTATTTAAAAAATACTTAAGAAATAAAATGAAGGACTGTAAGGAACATGGAAATGATAGAAGAAATAAGATGTAACTTCAGCTATGACCCTGCACTGTGGGCCTAAAAGTCACTTCCAGGAGTGGGACAGGGCCAATACTTTCAGTCCTTACTCAGCTGAGCCAGGGTCTCTCAGAGCTGGGCTGTAACTCACCTCCTAGCCCACTGGCTTTAAATTTTATTTTACTTATTTTTTTGCTCCTTGATGATCCCACGTAGTTGTCGAAATGAATTTTGGTGAACTTTATGGAAGTGATACATAAAATTGCTTTTTGCACAGCCCTGGAACCATAACAATATTGAATGGTTTTTGCTCTCAAAAAAAAAAAAAAAATTGTAGGACAGAAAAATCACTTCTAAGGCACATTAAATGAGATGAATATGTGTATTTACCTTAGCCAATAGCAGGAAAAGAGGAAAGGCATCAGGCCTCTAAATTTTAGCCTAGAAAATAAAATGGCTTAGATATTCGATTTCATTGTATTTTATATTTCTTTAGATTCAGATTATTATAGTGCCTTTTAAAAGTCTGATTCAGTCAGCAAAGGCTATATAATTTACCAATGGAAGAGTAGGACCTAGGGCAGGTGCTGGTGGGGGTGCAGAGCCCAGCTCAGGCCCACAGCTCACCCCCCGCCCCAGGCATGGCAGTCCTCCATGACAGGACAGCCGGCCTTGGCAACAGTGACTAACTGTGACACAGGGCTTCACTCGACAGCTACTTTTTCTTCCAGTGTTGGGTTTTGAGTGTACTGTGGACAAGGGTTCAAAATAGCCGAGTTACGCTGGCAGTTTACCCAGAGGTAACTCCGTGTGGACAGATTTTGGCCTCACTCTGAGAGGTGAGGCAGCTTTCTCCACAACACAGCCAGAGGCAGAGAACAGTCTGATCAGGAGAGCAGGAGTGAATGAAAAGTTATCCCCCACCAAAGCTGAACCCTGGTGGTCTCCTTCTGTCCAAAACTGAACTTCCCAAAGACTCTGATACTATACTTAAGTACGGATTTAAGGCTAAGTCTGGAATCACGTAGAAATGTAACTAAAGCTAGCTATAGGTCTTGTTCAAAATAAATTCAAAATAAACAACTGAGTATTAACTATATTGTCAAACCTACAGGATGAAGGCCTGACTATTGTGGACGTAAGTGGTGATTCAGTCTAGTTTGATTTGGGGGGGGTGGAAATAAATAATCCTGATTGGTTTTACAGAGTTGAAAAACTCAGGGAGTCTTTGCCACAGCTCTTCCATAGACTCTAAAGTCATTCTTGCTGCGATTAGAATCACAGAATTTCAGAATGGGAAAGAGACTTAGAGCTTATCCAAATCCCTCATTTGTCAGATAATAAAATGAGGCCCAGGAAGATTACGTAACTTCCCCTGGCTCTCACTACCACCTAGGGAACGGGGTTTTCCCGGAGACTAACCCCTTTATCCAGGCAGTTGCTTATTGTGGTAGCCAGCCAGCGAGGAACTGAAGCCTCCTGCCAAACAGCTACGTGAGTGCATCTGGAAGTAGCCCTTCCGGCTTCAGCCAAGCCTCGCATGGGGTGGCCCCAACTCACAGCTTGACCACAACCTCGGGAGAGACTCTGAGCCCAGAGCAGCCTGCTAAGCTGCTCCCAGATCCCTGGCCCTCAGAACCCCGGGTGAGAGAAGTGCCTGTTGCGTTAAGCAATGTTCGGGGGTAACTTCATGTAGCAATGAGGAAGTAAAACCCTCAGAGCTAGGACTAGCAATTTTTGTTAGATGCTTGAAGGCACCCATCGTTTAGGGTGTACAGCAGAGGAAGTAAGGGCACTCTCCAGTACAGAAGCTACTTCACCAGGGATTTAAGCTACTGGGCACAAACTTTTTGGATCACTTAAATGGGAACATGAAAGAATCTTTGAAAGGAAGCAAGTCCTATCTAATCTCGGGGAAGGACAGATCAGCAGGCTGGTCACAGGTTAGGAAGACTTGACGTTGCCGGGTCACCTTCTACGCTGATGTAATATCGCCTTCCTCACCTTTCCTTCTCCATGACTAACTTCTATTCTGGGACAGCTCAGTGGAGACGCTCATTCATATATATGGACCCAGAGAGCTCTGAATCTCAAATGCTAAGCTCTGTTACTAACAGGGGTCCAAATATCAGGGAGATCATTCCTAAATGGGTACAGCCATGAATCCCCATCACCGCTTACCCCCAAACGAAAAGGACAATCAAATTAGTTTAAAATGTTAAAAAAAAAAAAAATAGTTTAAAATGTTATGCACAATCAAAAGTGATGGTTGGAGCCAGTCTCTCAGAGTGATAGAGTGATGTAACCTATCAAGACTTAGGGGTCTACATCAAAAACAGCCAATGACTCGACTAGAACCTGGAAGAAAATGCAGAGGACGTGAAAAGCTATGGGACTACTTAGAATACTGGTAGAGCTGCAAACACCTTCAGAGAAAAGCCGCCTTGTTGACCATTTTGCAAAACATACTCCTCTGCTCCATTCAGAGCTGAGGAGTTTGCCGAAGCCAGGGGTGATTCAGGAAGCTGGGTAGTCTCTTGCTTTCGGCCAATCCAAAGCTAACAGCTCTGTCTGCATTTCCTGCATCCTGAGCCCTCAAATAACTGCTCTGTGGAGTTAACAATGTCAGAATTCTGATTTGCATCTCATTCTAAGATACTGTTGGCAGAATAGCTCGTGCTTTTGTTTTTTGTTCTCAGAAAACACTGAATATCAGAGTTGATTTTCCAAGGACTGAAACAAGCAAGCTTTCTCACAGATTGCTAGTTTTTCCTGCCGATGGCTAAAAATTCAGATAAGCAAGAGACAGATTTCCTAAAACAAGATATATTGCAGATGCTTTCTTGCAGTTTTGAGATACATACAGCTTCTGAAGCCTCCATATTCAATCCAGTGGGCTCCCAACAGATCTAAAATGGTTCCGTTCAATAAGAAATAGATGTTGAGTGCTAGAGTCCATTCTAAGATAACCAAATTGGAGAAAAGTTATTAAAACTATATGAGTGGATCTGGTCTTAGACTTTTAAATAAATTCATTTTAAAATAATAGGACTATTGCAGCCGGCAAGGAAACAGAACTTCCGGTAAGTTGTATGTCGGAAATCTTGGACGGAGTTGAGAGAAAAAAGCAAACTTAAAGGCCCATGGGCTTCATCTCCTTCTCTTGTGGAGGCTGAATGAGGGGTAGGATAAGACCACCTTTCTTACGCAAGAGAGCAATCTCTTCCTTTAAGGCCAAAATCCTTTCTGCCTGGAGTTGGATCAGTTCAGTGACCTTCTCTCTTGCCACAATGTCCGCTTTCCGAGGGCCCTGGAAGGCATTGCCCTGTTAAAAGAAAACACCTCCCTGCTTTAAACATCACGTGTAATGTGAAAAATTCCCCATTCTTATGTTACGAGTGCCTATCTTACTGTCAGTTTAAATACCCATTGCTTCTTATTTTAAGGGGCCTTCAATTCTTCCACTGAAATCCCACCATTAGAAATGTGCCCCTCTGGCTAATGAGTAACTCTTGAAATGCAAATCCCATTAAGATAGCTATCCCTCATTCCTACTATAGAAGGGCTCAGCACTGGAACCATAAAAGACGGGGTACCCCCATTTTCTATACAGCCCATATTTTGTTTCCCAAAAAGGAAATCTCTATTTCCTCATCCAATTCCTTCTCCTGTCCAGCCAACTCCTGCTTATGCTCCAGACATCACTTTTAGGGAGTCCTTTGTCCTGTGGACTAGATTAGGATTTCCTGTTCTGTGTTTTCAGAACATTCATCATGTATCATCGTGATTATGAGATTGAACCATTAAAATTTATATCTGAGACTCCTTTTTTAGGTTGAAAAAGTGGCAGTTTCATATGGTTCAACCTAAATGCCTGTTTGAGACCTTTCTTGCAAGAGCCTGTGCCTTTAAGAGCTAGATGGATCTCACCACTCTACCCAGCACCTGCCCTGGAGCGTGTGACATAAGGACCTGCTCAAAAAGCCTTGAATGCATGTTAAAGGGAAGAAGATGACACTTATGTAGTATATCCACTCTGTGCTTAGAGCGGAGGCAGCCATCATGTGACCTCGAAGGAAACTCCAAAGAATCACTGAGAGAATCAGAGAGCTACTGGCCCGGGCATCACAGGCCCACTAAGCCAAAAACCCTCAGTCATCACCTCCAGACTTCTTGTTAGTGAGGAAAATGACCCCTATTTGTTTAAGCTACTCTCCACAGGGCTTTTGGCTACTTGTAGCTAAACCCATGCCTCAGCTCATGGCATCACTCCAGCTGGTCACTTTGAAGTCACCTTAACTTTCTCTCATTTTCCTCACCATATCCAGTCAAAGTTTGGCTATTCTTACTTTGAAATGTCTGATCCTTTTTTGTTCTTGCCATCTATATCCCAATTCATGCCTAGACTGTTGGAAGAATAATAGCAATGGACTCAGCTTTGGAGGTGGACAGACCTTGGTTTAAAAACTAAGCACCATTCATTAGCTCCGAGGCAGTTACTTAACTACTCTGAGCTTTGGAAAGTAGTATTTTGAGAGTAGCAGTATGAGACATTCCACATAAAGAGACTATACATGAAAATCTATTACTTTAATACCATAAAAATTATCTATGTAAAGATATATATGTAAGGATCTCCTATGTAAAGAGACATATACTATGAATTTCCTTTCCCATTTAACTGATCTTCTACTCAAACACTTCAGACTCTTTTCTCCAATATATCTGGACTTACCAAAGCACATAAAGCCAACAAGTGTGTTGGACTTACCAAAGCACATAATATAGCCAACAAGTATGACTGCTTATTCTATGAAGATCGTGTTTAGGCATTAACCTTCTGGAACACCGTCCTGATTAATTCGAAAATTCTTCAGTGGGTAAAGGGCCCTCAATACTCAGATTTCTAGTATCCTCTCATACTGAATTTCCAATAATAAACCTCCCAAATCCTCTTATTCATTCTTGCTTCTAGACTTGTACTTAGGTAATTCTTAAACTCTAGCCTGCATCAGAATCATCTGAAAGGCTTGTTAATGTAGCTGGCTGGGCCCCTCCCCCAGAGCTGCTGATTCAGATCTGTGGGTGGCCCGAGAATTTGCATTTCTAATAAATTCCCCAGGTGATGCTGATGCTGTTTTTCGGGGGACCACACTTTGTGAAACCCTGGCTTAGACCATTTCCAGGATGCTTAAAGAAAACCAAGGGAAACAATGGGCGTTTTTGCAGATACTTCGGTAAGAATATGACATATATATTTTAAAACATAGCGCATATGTGTTAAGTTCCTAGAGGACACCTCACCTAGGTGAACCTTGAATCAGGTAAACCTGTATTAAATAAGATATCCACCATATACTATGTATTAAGTATTATGTCAGGCTCAATAACTATTATATAAGAAAAAGTTGAAAGCCATAAAAAGTAACAAGTGTTTTAATAAAGTAATATGAGATCCTACAATGAAAGATACCCACTTTAAATCAAATGAAATAAACAAATATTGGAAATGGGTATTTGTTACCAAATTTAGGGATTATTTTGGTGTCATTTGTACCTAACTAACCTTACCTCTCCAGGGCTAAGGCAAACCCCATAGATTAGTACATATGTAAACTCATGTCCCCCAAAAGGCATGCAGTAAAACTAGTCCCCCAGGCTCACCTGTAAAGTGGGTACTAGCAACTTCATGTCCTCAGGGACCCAGGTGGACTGGAAGTGGTACAAGATCAAGGTTTGTTTAAATGCCAGCACTTGATATTCCTGTGAATAGCTACCTTCACAGAGCTTCCCCAACTCTGATAAAAGGTCTGAAGAAAAGGAACATACCTGCTGGTTCTGTAGTGTATTCAACTGAGAATCAAGTTTCTTCTTTTCAATACATAAATCATTCATCTGATGAAGCTTTTTAGTGTGTTCCTTTGTCTTCATCATCAACTCCCATCGTACCTGAGCAATCTTTTCCTGCCAGGACAGGAAGATGTAAAATGGGTTAAGTAAATAAGAGAGGAAACAGAAAAATACATGTCCAGATTTGATCAAAACCATTCAGCAAATATGCATATGAAAAAATATAATCGAAAATCACTATGAAAATGCAACCAGAGCCAACTGCATTGGCTCTGGTTCAATTAGAGAAAAGAAGAATGTAGGTATGCTCAAAGATACAAGGAGGTAAAAAAGATAGACATAGATATCACTTCATTGTTGAAGAATGAAATCAGTATGCAAACAGTGCTGCTATTCATTACTTAAAAGGAAGAGTATTGATTTAAGCAGAAAACTTTCATATATTGTTCTTTCCCCAGCCTTGGCCCAAGATCCTCAAGTAGCCTTGAATGGCCATGCATCTCCTGGTGGCTTTCCTTTGTTCTGTTACTGCTCCGAAAATTATTTTAGATTGCACATATTATCTCCAGCATTCCCCTCCCTGAAAATCTTGGATAAGCAAAGATGAGACAAGATGACACTAGGAACCTCTTCTCCTGCCCTGTCTACTGATAAGACAGGAAACTGAAGAAGTCATCATGACTTGGGGGCTTATAAAATCTTTATACAAGCTCCTATCTTTGAACCTGGCTACAATGGGACACTGCCTCATCTCATAACTCAGGGAACAGTGTAGGCATTAACATCTTCTAAGACCCCACCAGCGAAATAGTCCATACCTGGTTATAGAATTTATTATTTAGAGATGCTTCCTAATTTCCAGATATGAACAGCATGTAAAGCTATAGGGAACACTACAACTGTGATCCTCCGAGCACAGCGGTTCCATCTCTAACACTGTCAGAGCATTTATTTATACATTAATGTAGACCTCAGAGGGGAATCCTGGTCATCAACCATGCCATTTTGTTATATTTTCATGTACCCAGGACCCCAAAACCTAGTGCTGGTGCTTTCACCCCAAGACAGACAAGTCCCTTCAACTAAGCGAATGGTCAGGATGCTGAGACAGGCTTAAGATCATGGGGGAGCCAAGTGGGGCCCACAGACTCATCTCTGGCTGCTCAGATGCTTCGCAGGAACCACAGTGTTTCTTGCCTTGACCCACGTTCAGCCAAGGCAGGTCACCTGTTGTCTCAGCCATACCTCCCACATCTTCATTTCCTTTGCATTCATTAGCTCCTTTCGAAGTTTTTTGATCTTTAGCTCTTCAAGCGTTGTGTTCACGGAAAGTGTCTGAAGGGCTTCTAGGTCTATCACACGGCCAAACTTGCTGATCATTAGTTGATGGACCGTTTCTTCCATTTCTAAAAAAAAAGACTTCACTGTCTTAGGTTGTTCTGTGGCCCGCATTGTTATTAAATGAACAATACCAGTAGCAACAACATTCCAAAGAACAGAGTTTGCAAGAGGATAGTAAAAGATTTTATGCTACCAGTTGACTTGTCCTCTGTGACTCTTCGCCAGCTCCTTTCCTCACTTAAAATGCCCATTCCTGGTTGTCTTTTCATCTACTTGAAAATCCTGTGTAAGGCAGACTCCACCTTCCCCCAGTTGTTTCCACCCTCTGCTGTGCCCCTCCTCAGACTGTCAAGGGCCCCAACTGGACAAAGAACTCTTCAGATTTTTTTTTTTTTTAAGTCACTGATCTCTACAGCATCTAGTGTTAAGAACAGAGCAGGCACTTAGAGGAAGTAAGTGTTTCCATCGTACTCCAAGTAAAAATTAAAGTCTGATTCTCAAACATTCCAGGCTCATTCTCATCTCAGTTCCCACCGACTGGAATGTTCTTCCCCAAATAGCCACATGGCTCCTTCTTGCCAGCCCATTTTCTGAAAGCAAGTTGTAAGGCTCATTTCCAATACACTCAGTTCTGAAGGGGTAACCAAGGTCCTCGTCCTCTAACCAGGGAAAACCACACCTTACCAGTATTCCACCTTTCCAGGGAGCGGTTCCTGGGTCCTACAGACCTGAGCACTCTCCTTTCCCGTCCCTTCTTAATTTTTCTTCTTAGCAATGATCTCCATCTAACATGCAATATATCTTACTTTTGTTTACTGTCTTTCCTCAACATGAGAACCCTGGAACTTCTAGGGAAAATTCCATTTGTGGGGTCTGAGCTCCCCAAGAAAATGTAATTCTTGTAACAAGACTTTCTCAGGTACCAGACTGTCCCCTAAGTGAAGTCTGAAGGCCCTAAGGTATCAGAAGATGATACAGTTCTGCAATGGTGTGGAAGTTTGTATCTGGTGTCATTGTTAAGGTTTGACTATAATGATATAACTGGCATGACTGCTGTTGTGCATGATCTGGGAAGGGCTGTTCACTTGTACTCTGTGTGAGTGTAATCCCCATGGACTTGTGTAATGTGGCGGCCATGATAATCAGTGATGCAAAAATGAAATGATGCTTAGATTATTTGTACACATGTACTAGCCTGTGGCTGCCTGCTTGGCCTCAGTAAGAACCTTGAGACTCCCTCCAGCTAGTGCCCTCTCCCATGACAGCCTCATGTACTAGGACGTGGACTCTGGTCCTTGCCATTCCCGCTGTGGAGCCAGCCTAATGCCCTTCTCCTGATTTGATTAGGCCAACTAGTGTTTACCGGGGACATAAAGCCTTCTGGAATATTTACCACATGCCTTCTCCATGGCCAAGAGCTGTGTTCTCCTTGGAATGAAGTGAACTTACTCCTTCCCACCACCATGTTCTAGGCTCTCCTCTTCTTCTTTTTTTTTTTTTTAAAGATGTTATGTATTTATTTGAGAGAGAGAGAATGAGAGAGAGCACATGAGAGCGGGGAGGGTCAGAGGGAGAAGCAGACTCCCTGCCGAGCAGGGAGCCCGATGCAGGACTCGATCCAGGGACTCCAGGATCATGACCTGAGCCGAAGGCAGTCACCCAACCAACTGAACTACCCAGGCGCCCTAGACTCTCCTCTTCTTGTTCACTGAGTCTATGGAAGGAGGAAGGCAACCTCAAGCCAAGCGTGGTGTTCCTCATCACTGCTAAGCCTTGTTCTCCAGCTTACAGAAAAGGAACCCACTCCGTGTTCCACCTTCAGAATCAGGAAAACTTTAACCAGACTCACAACTTGCTTTTCAGAAAATGGGGTGGGGGGGTGGGGAGAAGAACTGAAAGTTGCTGAATAAAACTTATACCACATGGAACTATTCCCTTTTATTTCCATTAACACTCTGCAAATTTGCAAACTTCATTTCATCTTCACACATTTTCCCAAAATGAAAGTTTGCCCCAACTGAAACAAGCTTCTTTCCTTGTTTTCATACTAGTTTATTCCTTGGTTTGATGAATAGTACTTTCAAATATAAACAACATTCAGGGCCTACCGAAGCCAGAGGAATGTGAAGTACATGAGAAGCACTGGGACCTCAAGGCTTACACCTGACAAAACTGTGTCTCAAATTAGTGTTATTTAAACATGCAGTCCTAATATGTATTTTGTATTTTATAATCCAGCTGCCTTGCAGAACCAGCTGCCCATGAAGGCAGAACCATCAACACTCACTGGAAACTGGCCTCTACAAATCCAAGCAACTTGGATTGGCTGACTAGTTGACTACTATAGGCTTCCCATTTTTTTTCTTTTTCAAATTAATATATATATATACTTTTATTCAATTATGGCAAAATACATAACATAAAATATCATTTTAAACATTTTTAATTGTACAGTTCTGTGGCATTAAAATAGATACTAAGATATTAGCAATATTGTTTTTATTTATTTATTTAAGATTTTATTTATTTATTTGACAGAGAGAGAGAGACAGTGAGAGAGGGAACACAAGCAGGGGGAGTGGGAGAGGGAGAAGCAGGCTTCCCGCAGAGCAAGGAGCCTGATGCGGGGCTCAATCCCAGGACCCTGGGATCATGACCTGAGCCGAAGGCAGACGCTTAACTGACTAAGCCACCCAGGCGCCCCAATATTGTTGTTTTTAAAGTTGGAAACTTCACAACTTACACTTCTGTTCCATATATCAAATATTCAAAACGTATTTTAAAGGATAGTAGTCTTTATACTGTGCATCTTATAATATCCACAACTCCAGATAGATTAAAAATACAAATATGAAGAACACTACTAATAGAGGACACTATGGGCAAAATATCTTTATGATCTCAAAACAGGAAAGGATTTCTTAAACAAGACATATACAGGGGCGCCTGAGTGGCTCAGTCGTTAAGCGTCTGCCTTCGGCTCAGGCCATGATCCCAGGGTCCTGGGATCGAGCCCCGCATCGGGCTCCCTGCTCGGCAGGGAGTCTGCTTCTCCCTCTCCCATTCCCCCTACTTGTGTTCCCTCTCTCGCTGTGTCTCTGTCAAATAAATAAATAAAATCTTTAAAAACAATTAAAAAAAAAACAAGACATATACACAGACACAATGCACAAACCATAAATATTGATAAAATTATATTAAGATTTTAAATGTCTATATCCCAAAAGGATACACTAAACAAAGTAAAAAGGCAAGTCACAAGAAGAAATTTGAGGTGGCTTAAAAGACAGAATATAGAAAGAACTGCCTAAATCAGTAATAAAACGAGTAGAAGTAAAAAATTGGTAAGGTTTATAATAGGCACCTTACAGAAAAGGAAACACAAATAAATGGCAAATAACTAATGTACGTGAAGATATTTAACCTCACCAGAATCCAGGAATCACGAATAAAAAACCACACAGAAATACAATTTAACATCCACCAGGCTGGCAAATATATTAAAGCCTGACAGCGTCAAATGTTCCTGAGAATACGGAGCCTGAGACGTTCTCACTGCCAGGGAAGTGGCAGGCTGCGGGGGCGGGGGGGAGGAGGGGGCGGTTGGAGATAAAATGATACAACCACATCGGAGAGCAGCTTGGCAAATACAGGAGTGCCTGCCGGGAACGCGTAACACCCCTCTACAACCCAGACACCCCAGTCCTGGGGATTCACTTTCTCCCGTGCACAAGGAGATGCATACAAGAAGATTTACTATAGTTCTGTCTTCGTGAAAAATTAGAAATACGTGAAATATCCATCAACAGAAGATTGAAGAAAGAAGTTCTTTCAGAGTCCTACAATGGAATATTATCGTAACAGTTAAAGTGAATAAATTACAGCAGTATGGATACCTCTCAAAAATTGGCCTAATAAAGTGAACTGCAAAATGATATGAATAATATTACAGTTAAAAACATGCAAAGTAGTTCCATATGTTGTGTGTGGATACATCCATATGCATATGTGCTCACCTGCCAGTTGACCCTGGGGAAGGGGCTGGGGAACAGTAGCAGAAAGAGGAGGAGCTTCAGTTGTACGGGCAATGTTTTGATTCCTTAAGCTTGGTGGCTAGTGATGTCACTCTATATTTCATCATGCATAAAACCTTTTAAACTTAAGAGAAACAGTTTCTATGATAAAGGATTGATTCTTCTAAAACAAGAGCGTGACCATTCAGTCAGCGGTATCAGGAAAGATGGTAGCTGGGAAGACGAGCAAGGGTTTCCTTGCTCTCAGTGGTTCTGATTCTGTGGTAACTTACTGTCTTCAAAGCTGGAGGTGGTCACTGAATAGTTCCCTCTCTTACCAAGATAGTACTGGATAACCCGTGGGCTTAGTTACTCACTGCTTATGGTTTTTGCCATCTCTCTCTTTTCTCGGATAAGCTGTTTGCGCCTCTCCCGGCAGTCCTTGTTAAGTTTTTGCTGCTTGGAATTTTCTTCATGGAGCTGTGTGATTCTTTCTTGGAGCCGTCCCAAGGAATAGTTCGAAAAGACCAAGGTTCCAGAAAGATCGTTAGGAATTTCTCCAAATGCTACATACTCTACCTATCAAAACCCAAACAAAACCAAGATCAAACTAAATGTAAGATCATAGAAAGCACTTCCTTTTCTGTCCCTTGTTTAGGTCATTGCCTTTGGACTTCTGTCATTCCCACCACTGAGTAAGGTAAAAGGGCCAGAGTTGCCTTCAGATAGTAAGCCACATTATGTCCCTGTAGGGACAGCAAATCTTCCCCCAGACCATGCCTAATATCTGCTGCATAACCATGGGACAAACATTTCACGGTGGGTGTATTAGGCAAATCGCTACATAAAGCTAATCCAGTTTGGATCAGGTTACACAAAATATATGTGAGGCTGATCTAAGCTTTTTCTTCTAAAATACAGCTTTCTCGCTTTACCTGACAAAATAGGGTACTGAATGCATCTCTGCACCTTAATATAAGCTGTAATTCTAATGAGTGTGGAAATGAACCAAGAGGCAAGAAAAAGAAAGGACACTTTCCTTTTGTCTTGCCCTCCCTCATTAACAAGCAGAGATTATTGCTTGTGTTCCCTCTCTCACTGTCTCTCTCTGTCAAATAAATAAATAAAATATTTTTTTAAAAAATAAAAAAAAAACAAGCAAGATTATAATAATTCTTGCATAATTCATGTCTATTTGAAGATGGTGTGAAAAGATGTGCACAAGATCCAAGATTTCAACTTCCAAACCATTCCATTCTTAAGTCATAAGCTCCTTGGGGCACCTGGCTGACTCAGTTGGAAGAGCATGGGACTCTTAACCTTGGGGTCTTGAGTTTGAGCCTCACGTTGGGTGCAGAGATTACTAAAAATAAATAAACAAACTAAAAAATAAATTTAAAACAAGTCATAGGCTCTTCATTTCCTCAGACCTGAAACAATTCATTGGCCTCTGGAAGTGATAATGGGCCATCGGGAAATACATATGTTTGGCTCTTACTCTTTCACAACAATCTGAGAATGGATAAGAAAAGTTGGGGTGTCATTATTCAGGTAGAATTCTCAGCAAAGGGCTGCATTTCTTCCCACGAGTGACCCACGAATCTTTTCTGGGAAAGCCCAGGTGTGGTGGCTCTTCTGCTCAGACAGGGCGGCGCATCATCTCCAGACCCATCACCTGGTGGAGCTTGAGTGGAATCACGACCAGCAGTTCATTTAGCCGCTGCTGTTTCTCTCGTTGGTAAGCCTCCAGGGCCTCCTCAGCTACATTCAGGTTAGCTGCCACAACTTTCACCTGTGAAGAGCCCCATGTGTGAAATGTGATAAATGGGGACATCTTGGGAGATGAGCAGGACCTGCTCTGTTGGGCTATGATTAAATGAATGATCCCAGTTTGCAGCCCAGGAATATGTGTTATTTTTTTCCTGCTAAGTCATGATCCACACTACTTTTTCAATCATTCCTATGTCCCCAGAGTAGTAAAGGGCTCATGAATAAGAGTTCAGATGTCCTCATCTCCCTTTTATTTTCTGCATGAAAAGCAGCTCTCAGCATGGAATGTCTTTGTCAAGATGGTGGGAATCTCATTGGGCCATCAATGACCTCAAAAAACAAAAGGAAAAAGCCCTTTAAGGCAACAAAATTACTAACTACAGTACTCATAAAGCACGTTCTTCATCTAAAAAACTTGAAAGTTTTCCAAATCATTTTGTATTTGCAAGAGGAGAAGCAATCTATCAAAAATATTTGTGAATATGAACTCTAAATGATACTTTCCAGCCACTGGATGCACTCAGCCAAAGAATTAAATGAAGTCAGAGAAGGACTTCTTGAGAACCACACCACTATTGATTGTCTACTACTGCTACACCATTTGGGGTGTGAAAAATTTCCTCACATGTATTGTTTCAACAACTCAGTTAACTCCTGCAAGGTGACCCAATTAATAGGGGACATTTGTGATCAATTAAATAAGATCAAGATATCTACTGATCTATTTGACAAAATTGGTAATTGGGGATCCTATCTAAGACATTTGACCATAATTTTGGGCCTAATACTTGCTTCATGTTCATCCTTTTGAATGTGCTGATGCATGTACCGTTTGCTGCCCATCATGACCCCCTGGAGCCATACCAAGGGCCCCTGGACTGACACCTGGAAGGATTCTAACTGCCCTACAGCCCACAGCCCCATTTCAGCAGGAAGCAGCCAGAGCGGTCATCGTCCCTTTCCCTAGGGTTAGGGTTAGGGTTACCATTCCGGGGGGGGGGAATGAGTAAGGGACAGGCAGGTCTAAACAGGGAGAGATAGATAGGGGTCTATGTGATCAGGCTCAAAGAAATCCCAAAAACGTGAGGTGTGGGGAACCCAGAGATAAGGGGACAAATTGGACCACCCTGCCCTAGGCGTGGGGGTGGGTGGGTGGGTGTCTTTTTTATGATAATCACCTGTGACCGACAAAGAATAACCAGACCCTAAAAAGGAAGTAAGCCATTGAAGGTCTTATCACTAGTCCTTGCTCAATGGTGATATCAATAGAGATGTTAGAAGGATTTAAGTTCCCTGGTTAGCTTTCTATAAAAGACTAACCCTAAGGACCCTCAGTGGCAACCCTGTCCGGACCCCTCTCACTCTGTTTCTATTTATTTTTATCTTACTCTTTTTCATTTCTGTTTTTGTGAATGTTTCCTACTATACAAAATACATTAGTATAATAGTTTGTGAATATAATTTGTAAATATATATACATATATTGTATATAAATTTTTTTTACTTATAGAAGTATGTAATAAAAAAGTTTGGAGATCAATGATCTAGATAAAGGAAGGCCAATCTTCAAAAGAACCAACAGCCCCTACCACAACTGTGCTTGAAGAGGAAAAACTTAAAATATAACACTTAAAATGTTTAGGGGCACCTGAGTAGCTCAGTCAGTTAAGTGTCTGCCTTGGGCTCGGGTCATGATCTCAGGGTTCTGGGATCGAGTTCTGTGTTGGGCTTCCTGCTGAGCAGGGAGTCGGCTTCTCCCTCTGTCTGCCGCTCCCCCTGCTTGTGCTCTCTCTCTGACAAATAAATAAAATCCTTAAAAAGATAAATAAAATAGGGGCACCTGGGTGGCTCAGTCAGTTAAGTGTCTGCCTTCGGCTCAGGTCATGATCCCAGGGTCCTGGGATCGAGCCCCGCATCGGGCTCCCTGCTCAGTGGGAAGCCTGCTTCTCCTTTCCCACTCCCCCTGCTTGTGTTCCCTCTCTCACTGTCTCTCTCTCTGTCAAATAAATAAGTAAAATCTTTTAAAAATAAATTAAATAAATAAATAAATAAATAATAAATAAATAAATAAATAAAATAAAATAAAATGTTTCTTCTCTGGGGAGAAGGCCTAACTCATGTCATTTCTACAGCAGTACAGTAGCTGGGAGGATGGCTGGCATGCTGGGAGAGGATAAATAAGTAAGCACACCATCATACTTTTTTGGATAGTGTATCATGTTCCTTTTTGAGGTTATCGATAATTTTCTTTTCTTCAGCTAAGGCCTCCTCAATGTCCAGCCTTTTCTCTCGAAGTTGAAGGGCCAATTCAAAAAGACCCACATCACAATCTGAAAAGACAGTCAAAATTAAAAGAAGCCCCATTGTCATGGAATGTGCTGATATTAGAAGTGTGGACTTTGGAGCTTCAGAATTAATAATGACCATTTGTGGGTCCACTCTAGCACACTTTCACTCCACTACGGGCTCCACTGTTCCAGGTGGAAATTATTAATATAAGTAATCCTGATAGTAATTCTGATACCAGCACTGATGTTCCGAGCAGTACTGTGAGCCAGACTTTCTGTTTAGGACTCCTTTTATGTACGTTCTCTCACTCAAGTCTCCTAGGACCTTGCAAGGTAGAAACTGTTGTTCCCACATTATAGGTGAGCACCCAAAGTCTCAGAGAAGTCATGTAGCTGATACGTGACACAATGGGACTCAGGTACAGTATCCCTGTATTAATTTCCACTATATCACACCACAGTCCACCAAGCAATAGATAAAGAATGTGAAAATAAGAGTACTACAATGGAATTTAGAAACTTTAGTTCTAGCCCTAGTTCCACCACCAAACTAGCTGTGGGACTTTTTTCAGGCCATTTAATCCTGCTGTAAACAAGGATTGTTTACAAGGATCCTGCTGTAACAAGTTGTATTATAATCTTTCGAGCTCTAGTTCACTCAGACATATGATTTTAAGAAGACTCTTGTTTGCAACATTAAAACAAGATTTAAACTTTACTTGAAATTAAGCTTTAAAATTTTATTTAAAATCTATATAAAGTGGCTACAAAAATAAATTTCATACCAAAAAGAAGTTTTTTCTGTACAGGACTATTCATCTATTGAGATTGTAAGAATATTGGTCTGGCTGCTTCAGACTGGTTTTACCAGTGAAAACAGTGAATATAAATTGCTAAGCATCTCCAGGAAGCCGGCACAAAGTACCCTTACAAAACAGATTTTAAATATGAAAATTTGAATGGGTTTGTCAAAAAGAGAAAGCTTCGTAAAAAAAAAAAAAAAAAAATACATGCACACGCGTGCGCACGCGCACGCACACACTGCGATCTGTTATTTCTACATAATTTGACTTTGAACCAACTATAAGTTATCTGTAAATTATTTGTCGTTCATAAATGACTGCCTAGGGAAAAGAAAATAAATCATCCAGAGAGCCAAATAAAAGCATTCATTAGACTACTTCATACAACTTCAACCACGCTTCCCTTAAATTTTATTATAAGACAACCGAGAAACCACAAAAGGATCTCCTTGATATTATCAGTCCATATTCACACTTCACAGAGAACATATGGTTTTATCCAACTTACTTGTTGGGCAAATAGAATCATCAAAAACTTCATCTTCAGATCCAGACTCATCTTCATCACTCTCTAAGCTAGATTCTTCTTCACTTGATTCATCACTATCTTCATCTTCATCTAAATAGAGAAGACATTATTAATAAGCAGAGAAGTTCCTGTGTTAAGATAAATCTCAGATTTTAAAAATAAAGGGTTTTTTTCAATGAGTTAGTCACTAGGAAAATAACAGATAAGGCAGGCAATTAGCCAATATTTTTAGAAGAGTTTAAAATGGTTAAAGAAAATATTACCCAAAGAAATCTACAGATTCAATGCAATCTCTATCAAAACACCAATAGTATTTTTCACAGAACTAGAATGAATAATCCTAAAATTAATATGGACCCACAAGAGACCTTGAATAGCCAAAGCAATCTTAAAAGAACAAAACTGGAGGTATCACAGTCCCAGATTTCAAGATATACTACTAAACTATAATAATCAAAACAGTATGGTGCTGGCACAAAAATAGACACATAGATCAAGAGAACAAAATAGAGAGCTCAGAAATAACCCCACACTTATATGGTTGCTCTATGACAAAGGAGGCAAGAATACACAATGGGGAAAACACAGTCTGTTCAACAAGTGGTGCTGGGAAAACTGGACAACTAGATGCAAAAGAATGAAACTGGGCCACTTTCTTATTCATACATAAAAATGAACTCAAAATGTGAGTTCAACCTAAATGTGAGACCTAAAACCATAAAACTCCTAGAAGAAAATGTAGGCGGTAATTTCTTTGACATCAGCCATAGAAACATCTTTCTATATATGTATCCTAAGGCAAGAGAAACAAAAGCAAAAATAAACTATTGGAACTACTCCAAAAAAAAAAAAAAAAAAGCTTTTGCAGAGTGAAGGAAATCATCAGCAAACCAAAAAGTCAACCCAGTGAATGGGAGACTATATCTGCAAATGATATATCCAATTATTGGTTAACATCCAAAGTATATAAGGAACTTACACAACACCAAAAAATCCCACAAATAATCTGAACAGAGAACATGGACAGAGAACCTGAATAGACATTTCTCCAAAGATGACATACAGATGGTCAACAGACGCATGAAAAGATGCTCAACATCACTCATTATCAGGGAAATGCAAATCAAAACCACACTTGTCAGAATGGTTAGATTCAAAAAGACAAGAAACAACAGATGTTGGCAAGGATGTGGAGATAAAGGAACCCTCACACACTGTTGGTGGGAATGTAAATTGGTGCAGCCACTGTAGAAAACAGTATGGAGGTTCCTCAAAAGATTAAAAATAGAATTACCATATGACCCAGTAATTCCACTACTGGGTATTTACCCAAAGAAAATGAAAACAGTAATTCAAAAAGATGTATGCATCCTTATGTTATTGCAGCAGCATTTACAACGACCAAGATATGGATTAATACTCAGTCACAGAAAAGAAATGAGATCCTGCTACTTGCAACAATCTGGATGGACTTAGAGGGTACAATGCTAAGTGAAATAAGAGAAAGACAAATACTATATGATTTCACTTACACAGGGTATCTAAAAAACAAAACAAATGAACAAACAAACAAAAAAAGCAGAAACAGACCATAAATACAGGAAACAAACGGACTGTCACCAGAAAAGCAAAGGGGGGGCAGAGGGATGGGCAAAATGGGTGAAGGGGCATGGAAGGCACAGGCTTTCCAGTTATAGAATGAATAAGTCATGAGCTGAAAGGTCGAGCATAGGGAATATAATCAATAGTATCATATTAGTGTTACATGAGGACAGATGGTAGCTGCACTTGTGTTGAGCATAGTATAACATACAGAGTGGTGGAGTCACTATGTTTTTCAATTGAAACTAATGTAACATTGTGTGTCAACTATAATTCAATAAAAAAATTAGTTTAAAATAATAATAAAATTCTACAAAATAAAATAACCAAGTAAAAAGAAAAAACAAATAAATAAATGGTTGGGGACACAGAGACCAAAACTCAAATGCCTGAAGAAGTTTGTTCAATTAATTTCAATGCACTGAATCAAAGAAGGTTGAGACCAAACTGCCAAGCTGCTTCTGCTGTGACCTAACACACACTTGGTTTTATAGGTCCACAGTTCCTAAATCATAGTGCCTTGGGAGGGGGAAAAAAAAACTTCCATAACTTATCTGAAGTAATGCTATATATTATCTTTATTTAACCTACTTAGTGTGAATATTTGTGTCTTGCTGTAGAAATATTAAGGTGTTTGATTTAGATATCCTGCTCTAAGCCCTGCTGGAGGTGAGAGTTGACAAAGACTCTATCTGTTGACCAAACTTGAGTCAGGCTCCTCTGAGTTCTCTTTCTGACCCACAGTGGACCATGAGCTTAGTTCTTGACCCATTTAGTCCAGTTTTAGCAAGAATCCTGCTGAGTCAGTTTAGTAAAAATCTCACACCCTTGATATCTGATCAGATTCCTCCTTAATCCTTACCCTCACTATCTTTTCACTCTGGCCAATCTTCAGCAAAAATCCTGTTAGGTCAGTCTAGCAAAGAATTATTCTACCTCTTAGTAATTTTCCATCCACTGACTCCCACCCTGCTGCTTGGCTATAAATCTCTACTTGTCCTTGTTGTATTCAGAGTTGAGCTGATCTCCCTCCCCTATTATAAAATCCCATTGTAGTGGTGCCCCTGAATAAAGTCTGCCTTATTGTTCTTTAACAAGTGCCATGAATGGTTTTTTCTTTAACAGTGTCATATAAAATATCTTTTATAAAATACAAAAAATACTAAAACTCATCTGCCCCTAAGAGTTTCAGATAAGGGACTGTAGACCTCTCCCACGCAGCTCTACTCCATTTTCTTTTAAACATGTTGAAGCCATCTATGAACCATAGATCACTAATTGGCAATTTCTATTTTATGGACATCAAGTTAGAAATAAGAGATGGACCTCATACTCTTCAGAAGATTTCTTAAATTTAAGATCTCTCTTAAAATTACTTTAAGCAGTCTGTACCACCTTATGAAATAAATCACCAAAGTTTAAAATTAGACTTTAAAATTCCTACATAGATTTCTGCTTTGGGGAAGACAAAGTAGATCTATTTTTTTCTTATGTAGAACAAACATAAGATTCTGAAAAATGGAAAGAAAGCACACTAAATATGAAACTCAGAAGCTGAGGAACAACTGTGGTGAGTTTTTTGGGTCTTCTTTTTGCCTCTTAGATCTCAGACTTAGAAATGAGTAAGTCACCAACCTGGAAACACCAATAGATAGTATATAAAAATATAAAAATATATAAATATATTTATATATATATAAATATAAATATATAAAACGGCCCAACCAGAGCCTACTCTCTCTAGCCAAATGGCCAAGAAAGAGGTGGCCCAACAAGGCAAAACTTTTAGACAATATCCTAACCAAACACCACAGGAAAAAAACTGTGGTCTCACTCCCACCCCTATCAGCGAAGGCCAAGTAGGGAAACTAGACATCCACTCTTGCAAAGCCGCAATGAGGAACCCAACATTCTCATCACCCAGGATAGTGTCAGAGAAGGCAAAGCAGGGAACCAGGACATTTTTTCCTGCTGGCTGGTGACCAGTCTTGCCCCCAAACCCCACCAAGATATCTGTGGAGACCATGTGAGTAGCCCGGATTTCTTTCACCTGGCAATAACAAGACTCACTCCCTCCTCCCATAGAGGTCATGTCAGAAGAACCCTAATAGAAAAAAAGAAGAAGAAGAACCTGGAAAGTCAGGACTTTCACCATTGCGCAGAGGTACCAAGGCCATCCCCACTATGTTGTCAGTAGAGACTACATGGGGACCCAGAACTCCAGAACAAGGAGATCCTCCTTCCTTTGAGTCACAGTGAAGGTTGAGTATGGCAATAAGGAGTAGGCATCCAATCCTTTCTCTGGAAGAGCAGTGTTAGAAAAAGCCAAGAAAAACAGAAGATTTAAATAAGATACAGAGTCTTATAACATAATATGGAAGTTTCCAGGTTTCAACTGAAAGTCATTCACTGTAGCAAGAACCAGGAAGATCTCCAACTGAATGAGAAAAGACAATGAAGAAATGTCAACATTAGGATGGCAGAAATGTTAAAATTATCTGACAAAGTATTTAAAATAGCCATGATAAAAATGCTTCCATAACCAATTATAACACACTTTAAGCAAATGAAAAATACAAAGCCTGTTCAAAGAAATAAAAAGTATCAGAAAGAAAAAGATACAAAGAAGAACTAAATGGAAATGTTAGAACTGAAAAATACAATAACTAGAAGAGGAACTCAGTAGATGGGCTCAACAGCAGAATGGAGGGGAACAGAGGAAAGCATCTGTAAACATGAGGACAGAACAATAGAAGTCATCCAGTTTGAAAAACAGAAAGAAAACTGAAAAACAAACCTCAAACCTCAGAGCCTCAGGGACCTATAGGACTATAATGAAAGGTCAAACATTCATGGCATGAGTCCCAAAAGGAGTGAAGAAAAAGGAGGTTCGTAAAAGCACTTAAAGAAATAATGACTGAAAACTTCTCAAATTTGGCAAAAGACATAAGCTGACAGATTAAAGGAGTGAACCTTCATCAGTCTGAACCCAAAGAATCTACTCCAAGACACATCATAGTCAAGTGTCTGGAAACTAAAGACAAAAAGTCTTAAAGACAGTGAGAGACGTGAGACTTCACCTTTGGGAGATGAACAATTTGAGTATCAGAGGATTTCTTATCAGAAACCATGGAGGCTGGAAGAAAGTAGCACAATATTTTTTAAATGCTGAAAGAAAAAAAAGTCAACCTAGAATCCTATACCCAGTGAAAATATCTTTCTGAAATGGAGAGGAAATTAAGACATTTTCAGTTTGCCACTAGTATACCTACCCTAAAAGAATGGATAAGGGACATTCTTTAAACAGAAGGGAAATAGTTTTTTTAAGAAGGAATTTTGGAACATCATCAAGGAAAAATTAACATGGTAAGCAAAAATATAGGTAAATATAATAGGCTTCCTTCCTCCCTTTGAGTGTTTAAATTATATTCGGTAGTTGATGCAAAAATTATAACATTGTCTGATGTGGTTCTAGATGTATGTAGATGAACTGTTCAAGATAATCATATTATAAATGGAGGAAATAAAGGGATGTAAAGGCAGATGAGGATTCTATACTTGACTTAAACTGGTAAAATGATAACACTGGTGGTCTGAGATAAATTATGTATATATAATGTAATTTATAAAGCAACCACTAAAAAAGTTACACAAAGACATACACTCAAAAGACTAGAGAAAATTAAAATGGAATTCTAAAAAATGTTCAAGTAACCCAGAGGAAGGTAGGAAAATGTAGAAGATGGAAAGCAGAGAGAATAAAAAATAAATAAATGGCATACCGAAGCCCTAATATATTAAATCTAATAGGTTTAAGTACACCAATTAAAAGACAAAGAGTAGATAAGAAACATTAACCATGTGCTGTCTACTAGAAATTCACTTCTAATATAATAACATAGTCAAATTGAAAGTAAAAGGAGTGAAAAGATATATCATGCAAACATTAATCAGAGCCAAACAGGAGTGACTATATTAACATCAGATAAAGTGGACTTCAGAGCAAAGAAAAATATTCTAGACAGAGAAAGACCTTATATGATAAAAGTGTCCATCTATCAAGAAGACATAGTAATCCTGAATGTGTATGCATAAAACAGGGCTGCAAATATGGAAGCAAAACTGATAGAAATGAAAAGAGAAATAGATAAATCCATAATTATATTTGGAGACTTCAACACCCCCTCTCAACATTTGATTGGAATTATACAGAAAATCAGCAAGACTACCTTAGAAGACCTGAATAGCATCATTAACCAACAGGATCCAATTGACAGTAATAGAAGGTTTAACCCAAAACAGCAGAATATACATTCTTTGCAAGTACCCACAGAACATATACCAAGACAGACCATATGCTAGACCATTAAACAAATTTCAACAACTATAAAAGAACTGAAATCATGCAGAATGTGGTCTCTGACCCCAATGGAATCAAACTAGGAATCCATAACAAAAACTTACCAAGAAAATCTCAAAACACTTGGACCCAAACAAAACACTTCTATATGGTCCATGGGGCCTAAAGGAAAGATCAATGTAAATTTTAAAACTGCAGTGACATGAATGAAAATGGAAAATGCAACTTACCAAAATTTGTAGAATCCAGCTAAAGCAGTGTTAAGAGGGAAATTACAGCACTAAATTAGAAGAGGAAAAGTCTCAAATCAATAATTCACACTCACCTCAAAACCTAAAAACAGAAATGCAGAATAAATCCAAAGCCAGCAGAAGAAGGTAATAATAAAGATAAGTGCAGAAATCAATAAAATTGAAAATAGAAAAATTATCTTTAAAAAATCACCTATCCGAAGTTATCCAAATTTATCCCGTTTGTTCACAAAAAGATCAAATTGACAAACCTCTAGCAAGTCTAAAAAAACGGGGGGGGGATAACAAAAAGTTACCAATATCAAGAATGCAACAGGTGATGTTACTACAGACCTTGCAGATATTAAAAAGATAATAGAGAAATACAATGAATATCCCCACACACATAAATTTGGCAACTCAGATGAAATAGACCAATTTCACACACACAAAAATACAAATTACCACTGGTCACCCAATATGAAACAGATAATCTGAATAGTTACATAGCTATACTAAGAACCCTTGAGGGGCACCTGAGTGGCTCAGACAGTTAAGTGTCTGCCTTCGGCTCAGGTCATGATCCCAGGGTCCTGGGATCGGGCTCCCTGCTCAGCGGGGAGTCTGCTTCTCCCTCTCCCTATGCCTGCTGCTTCCCCTGCTTGTACACCCTCTCTCTCTGTCAAAAATAAATAAAATCTTGGGGCGCCTGGGTGGCTCAGTCATTAAGCGACTGCCTTCAGATCAGGTCATGATCCCAGAGTCCCACATCAGGCTCCCTGCTCAGCAGGAAGCCTGCTTCTCTCTCTCCCACTCCCCATGCTTGTGTTCCTGCTCTCACTGTCTCTGTCTCTGTCAAATAAAAAAATAAAATCTTTAAAAATAAATAAATAAATAAATAAATAAATAAATAAATAAATAAATAAAAATCTTTAAAAAAAAAAAAACTTTTGAGTTTGTAATTTTAAAACTCCCCTGAAGAAATCTACAGGTCCAAATAGTTTCACTGGAGAACACTACCAAATTTAAAGAATTACTACCACATACATTATCTTCCAGATAATCAAAGAGAAGACTTCCTAATTCATATTGTGAAGCTAGTATTATCCTGATACTAAAACCAGACAAAGATAGTACAAAAAAGAGAAAAAAGCAAGCTAAAGACCAATGATCCTCATGAATATATGGACACAATATTTTTTTTTCTTTTCTTCTTCTTCTTCTTTTTTTTAAAATAAGTTCTACACCCAAAATGGGGCTTGAACTCACAACCCCAAGAGCAAGAGTTGCATGCTCTATTGACTGAACCAGCCAGGCACCTCTAGGCACAAAATTTCTTAATAAAATATTTGAAAATAGAATTCAACAATATATAAAAAGAATTATAAACCATGAGGGGGGTGGTATTTCAAGGGTGTAAGTCTGATTCAATAATCAGTAATCAGCCAATGTAACACACCATATTAATAAGCTAAAGAAAAAAAATCACATAATCATCAATCAAGGCAGAAAACCATCTGACAAAATTCAACACCCATTCATGATAAAAACTTTAAAAACTAGGAACAGAGGGGAACTTCCTCAACTTGATAGAGTATCCACAAAATACCTACAGGTAGCATACTTAATGGTGAACCATTAAATGCTTTCTGCCTACAACTGTGAATAAGGCAACGATGTCAGCTCTCAGCACTCTATTTCCATGTAGTACTGGATGTTCTAAACACTGCAAAAAGGCAAAAAGAAGAAATTGGCATAAAGAGCAGAAAGAAAGAAATAAAACTGAACCTATTTGCAGATAAATTATTGTCTACATAGAAATTCCCAAGGAATCTATCAAAAACTTCTAAAACTAATAAGTGAGGTCACAAGATAGGAGATCAACATCTAAAAAGCAACTGTATTTCTATATACTAGTGTGGATGTGCGAAACCAAGATTAAAAACAAAATAGCACTGGGCCCCTGGGTGGCTCAGTTGGTTAAGCGACTGCCTTCGGCTCAGGTCATGATCCTGGAGTCCCGGGATCGAGTCCCGCATCGGGCTCCCTGCTCGGTGGGGAGCCTGCTTCTGCCTCTGACCCTCTCCCCTCTCATGTGCTCTCTGTCTCTCTCATTCTCTCTGTCTCAAATAAATAAATAAAATCTTTAAAAAAAAACAAACAAAAAAATAGCACTATAAAATTGTACTAATGTATACTATTAGTCTGCCACTTATTTCATTTTCTAGGATTTTGTGTGAGAATTTTTTAAAAGATTTTATTATTTATTTGAGAGAGAGAGAGGGAGAGGGAGAAGCAGACTCCCCACTGAGCAAGGAGCCCAACATGGGACTCGATCCTAGGACCCTGAGATCATGACCTGAGCCAAAGGCAGACACTTAACTGACTGAGCCACCCAGGCGCCCTTTGTGTGAGATTTTAATAAAATATTTCTACCACCACCCAAAAAAAAAAAATATAGCATTAAAAATCACTTGAGGGGCACCTGGATGGATCGATTAAGCATCTGATTCTTGATTTCAGCTCAGGTCTGATCTCAGGGTGGTGAGGTCAAGCCCCCACATCAGGCTTAGTGCTCAGTGGTGAGTCTGCTTGAGAATCTCTCTCTCCCTCTCCCTCTGCCCCTCTCCCCTGACTTGCTTTCTCTTTCTCTGGAAAAAAAAAAAAAATAATAATAATAAAGTCACTTAAAAAAGGGAAATACTTCAGTATAAATCTAACAAAACATGAACCTGAATTGTATGTTGAAAATGATACAATGCTGATGAAAGAAATCAAATCTCTAAATGCATACTGTGTTCACTCATTGGAAGACCCAACAAAGATGCAGATTCTCTCCAAACTGATATAAAAGTTTAACACAATTTCTATCAAAATTTCAACAAGATTTTTTTGTATATACAAAAAATTATTTTGAAATATAGAAAGATAAAGGAAATAGAATAGCTGAAACAATTCTGAGAAAGAAGAATAAAATAGGAGGAATTAGTTGACCTGACTTCAGAACTCAATGGCCTCCATAATCAAGACTACAGTATTGGTGGGGAGCTAGACAAACTGATCAGCAGAACAGAACATCCAGAAGCAGATCCACACAAATATGCCCAAGTGGTTTTTGACAAACATCAAAAGCAATTCAATGGGAGAAAGACAGCTTTTGCAACAAATGGTGCTAGGGCAATTAGACATTCACAGGAGGGATAAACAGATCTTGACCTAAGTCTCGCACCTTATAGAAAAATTAAGCCCAAATCGATTTCAGACTTTAATGTAAAACTCTAAAACTTTCAGAAATAAATAGGAGAGAATCTTTGGGACCTAGGGCTAGGCAAAGAGTTCTTAGACTTTGAAACCTAAGCAAGATCCAAAAAAAAGAAAACCAAAAAAAGAAAAACACCTTATAAATTGGACCTCAACAAAAATAAAACCTTCAGCTCTGTGAAAGACCATGTTGAGGGAATGAAAAAACAAGCTACACAACAGAAGAAAATATTTGCAAAGCACCTGTCTGACAAGGACTAGCGCCTAGACTATACAGAGGACGCTTAAACCTTAGAAGCAAAAAATCCTATTCAAACTTGGGCGAAGGACATGACGAGATATTTTACCAAAGATGACATTGAGTTGGCATATAAACAGAAGAGAAGATGTGCTTGTTACATAAACCACCCTAAGCTGTTTCAAACCAGATACACACACACAAATTAACTCCATAGGGTTAGAGATCTACAGGTTTATATCCTCTCCCCTTCAAGCCCACAGAACTTCTAACTGTCTATGTTGTAGGAACAAAAGTTGTCAAATATATCCTTAGTTATTTCTCTATTTCATGTTAATGAGAAAAAAATAGAATCATATGTTAAAAAAAAAATTCAAACCGGCATCTCCTTCAACATCCTTTTTCTTCGCCCGCTTAATCCTCTTCTTTAGGACCTTCATGAGGAAATTAGCAAATTTATTGTTTTCTCCAACGGCTGCTTGGAAACCAGCATAGAGTGCTTTTTCTTGGTCCTGGAGCTTGGCAATTTCATTCTTTTTCTCTTCCATCTCTTTAAGAGTTTCATTTATTTTCCACTAAATGAACAAAAACAGGAATAAGTGAAAGTATTTCCGATAAACCAGGTTCAGAGAATAATATATATTACAATGTAAGGTTACAGTTCACAAACTTTTTTTAATCTTCTTCATAGAAGTTTACATTTCTGATGGTTGGAGAGCCATCCATTTATTTGGTTAAAATTTTATAATTCTTTTGTAAAAATCAGTTAAGCCCAGAATTGGATAAGATCAGCTTTTTATGTTTAGCTTCCTCAAAAAGTCTAAATTAAGTGAAATATTTACTGTCAGCTAATACTTTTGCATGTGTGATCTCAAAAACAAAAGATGTTTTTCATATGAATACATGACAACTAAAACAAAAAGACACTGCATCCCTTAGTGCAGCAGATATACCTTAAAAATGGTGTTACTATTCAGTAATATTTATTTGATGGAATCCTTCTTCCTTTGAGATGAAAGTTGGATGGTATCATTTATCTCTTTAAATTTAACATATATATAACAAACAAAGAAACTTACTTTCCTAAGATACTCAATTACATATTACCCTGAAACTAGCTATCGTATTTAAAAAACTAGTCAACTTCTAAAAGGAATGAGATCTTGCCATTTGCAACAACGTGGATGGAACTGGAGGGTACTATGTTGAGTGAAATAAGTCAAACAGAGAAAGACATGTATCATATGATCTCACTGATATGAGGAATTCTTTTTTTTTTTTTAAGATTTTATTTATTTATTTGAGAGAGAATGAGAGACAGAGAGCACGAGAGGGAAGAGGGCAGAGGGAGAAGCAGACCCCCTGCTGAGCAGGGAGCCCGATGCGGGACTCGATCCCGGGACTCCAGGATCATGACCTGAGCCGAAGGCAGTCGCTTAACCAACTGAGCCACCCAGGCGCCTGATATGAGGAATTCTTAATTGCAGGAAACAAACTGAGGGTTGCTGGAGTGGGGGGTGGGGTGGGAGGGATGGGGTGACTGGGTGATAGACACTGGGGAGGGTATGTGCTCTGGTAAGCGCTGTGAATTGTGCAAGACTGTTGAATCTCAGATCGGTACCTCTGAAACAAATAATGCAATATATGTTAAGAAAAAAAAAAGAAGAAGAAGAAGAAGGTAGCGGGAGGGGAAGAATGAAGCGGGGGAAATCGGAGGGGTAGATGAACCATGAGAGACGATGGACTCTGAAAAACAAACTGAGGGTTCTAGAGGGGAGGGGGGTGGGAGGATGGGTTAGCCTGGTGGTGGGTATTGAGGAGGGCACATTCTGCATGGAGCACTGGGTGTTATGCACAAACAATGAATCATGGAACACTTCATCTAAAACTAATGATGTAGGGCGCCTGGGTGGCTCAGTTGGTTAGGCGACTGCCTTCGGCTCAGGTCATGATCCTGGAGTCCTGGGATCGAGTCCCGCATCGGGCTCCCTGCTCAGCGGGGAGTCTGCTTCTCCCTCTGACCCTCACCCCTCTCATGCTCTCTCTCTCAAATAAATAAATAAAATCTTAAATAAATAAATAAATAAATAAAACTAATGATGTAATAATGTATGGGGATTAACATAAGAATAAAAAACAACAAAAAAAAACTAGTCAACTTCTTTTCCAAGTATGTTCATAAGGATAACATATAATCAAAACTCAACTTTATATGATAGCTAGTGACAATAAAAATACTTTGAAATTCGTAAACTAAATAGAAGGCTCACTTTTGAAAACTTATCCTCCTACCATACAAAACATCCGATCGAATTCACTGTAAAGTCTGATTCATTTCTCTCTCTTAAGAATACCAAAAGCAGGGGCGCCTGGGTGGCTCAGTTGGTTGGGCGACTGCCTTCGGCTCAGGTCATGATCCTGGAGTCCCTGGATCGAGTCCCGCGTCAGGCTCCCTGCTCGGCAGGGAGCCTGCTTCTCCTTCTGACCCTCCCCCCTCTCATGTGCTCTCTGTCTCTCTCATTCTCTCTGTCTCAAATAAATAAATAAATAAATCTTTTAAAAAAAAAAAAAGAATACCAAAAGCAGAACAAGCAGGAATAAGAGGGGGTTGGGGGTGGGAGATGAGGAGGGACAAAAGAGAGGAGGACTAGAACAGGGGAAATTAAGTTGAGAAGATGAAGAAGGAAACAAAGAATCAAGTCCCCTCCATAACTAAAAGATACAGCCAGCCAGCATTCTCCTGCCGGCTCATACCTGCATATCCTGTTCTTCTTTGTCTAATGAATTAACACGCTCTTGAAGTATGTTCTCCTGTTTTTCAAAATTCTTGAGGAGAAGCATTTCTTGAAATAATGTGACATGGTGAAGGTCAGATAATTTCATCTGAGTATCTAGTTTCAGTTTCTGATGCCTCAGGAGACGGAGTTCTGCATCAAAAGTGACAATCAGTTCTTTGATCTGAGGTGGAAAAAGATTTGAGGGTGTGTTAGGAGTTAAGAACAGGTAAGTATACTTTTAAAACTATTGAACAATACTAATTTGTTTAGGTAGAAGCATTTTCTCGTTATACCGTTGTTATGGAGTAAGAATTATATGGGCTCATGTGCATGGGTATGTGTAGTCCTATAAATCAATTTATCAATATTATAAAATTTATATAAATTTATTAAGCGGTAGGGATTCTGTAACTATAATCCTTCCAGCTATTTCTTTACCATGATTAAGCCATCAAGAATGCCCTTCTTGGTATACTATGTGGTTGAAATCAGAGACTAGGAGGTCCTTGTGTTTCTATCTGCCTCCACTTTATCCCACAGCATCTCTACATTGTCTTTCATACAGGAAGCACTACATACTCCCTTCAACTTCTTATTTTGAAAATTTTCAAACATTTCCAAAGGTGATTTAAGTTGTGACAGAGCTGGGATAAGAATGACATATCCCAAGTCCTGGTCTAGACCTTCTCCCACTGCCATCCCAAGGACTTTAAAGGCTCCATTCTGCTCTGATTTGGCACAGCTTCTCCCTCACCCCATCCCAAAGGCAATGAAGAGATCCAGAGAGAGCCCCAGGGGCTGGTTCTCCTGAGAAAACCAGGACAACAGGTAGAAGACAAACCATTCCATGTTTTTTCTAGGCTGTGCATGATGGAGAGTCTCAACAGTCAAGAACCTGTAATGAGGGAGGGCCCAGCCCGTGGCTGAGGAGAAGGAAGAGATCTCTGGGTTTGGGACAGTGAAGAAGAAAAAAAAAAAATTAAACTTTTACTTATGTATGGTCGTAGACTAAGTGGGCTCTTCTTTAATGTTTGTTCAACAAGTCTGAACTATTTTTAAATTTCTTTTGAGGCAGGACTATATTTTTTCAGTGTAACACCATTCTGAAACATAGGTGTTTAAGTTTGTAAGGCTCATGCTTGTTTTGCTTTCACTCACCCGATAGCCTATAAGCTTTATGAGGATAGAGAATATGTCTGGCTTGAGTATTATTGCATCCCTATCTAACTAGCACAGTTCCTGCACAAAGAATGTCCAATAAATGTGTTGATACCATAAATAAATTAGTTACTATTAAACCAAACTTTTTTACTGGGTATCTACTATATGTCTGGCATTTTCTAGACACTGCAGGGGAATCAAAAGATGATTATATGTGGCCCTTCTCTCAAGAACTGTGTAATCTAATTTGCAAGACAAAACTAACACATATGAGCGCTGAGTGATGTATAGAATTGGATTGTTATACTGTACACCAAAAATGAATATAACACTGTATGTTAGTTATACTTCAATTAAAAAAACTAACACACATAAAACAGCAAGAAGGATAAGTGGAAAACATTAGGTGCTGCTTATAGGTGCAATCGGAGTTTAGACAAAAAAGTATGTAATGTGGACAGAACATTCTGGAGAAGGTTTGGAATTGGACTAAGTTTTGCATGATGACTCACATTTGAAAGGAAATCATTGCAGGTGGGAGGAAATAGCAAAGGAATAAGCAAATGCAAAATTCAGAATGGGGGTGGGGAATGGGAGTGGGGAGAAGCAGGAAGAGTGAGAAAGCGAGGCTGGACAAAGCAGAGATAATGAGTGAAGAATACGTTTGGGGAGCTATAGGGGGTGCCTTCACAGGGTGGAGCCAGACAGACACTGAGGAAGGGAACTCTACACGGTTGGCAGCCGGGAGCCTCCTAGCCAGCAAAGGTCCTTTTCCTTCTGGATTCAGAGGACCTCCTGTACCACTGGCCCCAACATGGTCTGGCTTCCTAGAAATAAAAACAGGTGCCGTTCCAGCTCCAGAACAATTCTGAAGCCAGTCATCACCATGAACACTCCCACCAATGAGGCAAATCACACGTTAGAGAAAGAGGAGGATGTAAAAAGCAGAGGTGCCCCATTTTCTCTGGAAGGTTTTTAAATTATGTTCCATCCAGCATCTGAAAGCTGCTCCATCATTTCCCCATTACCAAGACTTCAGTTAGATGCCAATTGACATGGATTTGTCCTTAATTCTTAGCTTTTCCCAAAGCAAAACGTTTAAAAGCTCTAAAGTTCTTGGGCAGAGCACAATAATTATCAGAAGGCCATGGATGGGGAGGAAGCTAAGCCTTCAGGGAGTTGTGGGCTGGTCAGGGCTTGGGAAAGATTACTGTAGAGAAAATTTAAATCAATAAATAAGAAAGGAAATCTAGTTCTTCCCCGCTCTCCTCTCTTTCAGCTTGAAAAAGGCAGTGTCACCCCTTACCCTATTGGTTAAATACTGTTGCATGTACAAGTGTTTAATCTCGTCCCTTTTCATAATCTCCAGCTCTATATCAATTGGATCTGCTTTTTCAAATTCTAGTAATTTTACAGTATCTACACAGAATGCTGATGCCTTTGATGATCTAGACAATGAATCTCTTGTCGTCAAATCACTGTTCTTTCTAGAAGAGAGTCTGAGGAATCCTCCACTTGAGCCTGTAGACCCTCCCTGTTCCAGCTGGGAGGATGTTTCACCCTGAATCTTCATCTGCTGTCGCTTAAAATTTAGGAGAGTTTCCTCATCATACTGAAATCTCTTTTCTGGAACTTCTTCTGGGTGTATCTGGGGGACTTGGGGAATAGGAATGTGCTTGGATATGTGAAGAATTGACTGGATGCTCTTCAGTTCTTGAACCAGGCACTGTATTTCCTCGATGACGGCCACTTTAAGGTCTCGAAGAGAAAAGATACATTTGTTCATGTTCTTTTTCTTTGAATGGGCCTGATAAAAAGAAGGAAACAAAATGACAATCCATTCACAAAGGACAGTTTGAAATATGATTTTTGTCCCATGACTGGTATGCCTAGCAAAAATCCAAGAAAAAAAATTTATCTGATCATTTCTATTCACTACTAAGTTACTCTTTTCTTTAGCTTTTAGGCTGTTTCCCATTTAGCTTCTCCAAAAGAGGAAGACAGTGTGGATGTGACCTCTGGTATCCCTCAGGTGGCTTGTAGGGCTCAGTTCTGCTGTCTTCTTCTGACCAACCAGGGGAAGTCCTTCCTGAAGTCTTGTACTCAGCCAGGGCTGGGTGAGGGGAAGGTCATTCTTTAGTAAGGAACATACAAATGTAACTGCCTATCCCTGATGGAAACTCAAATTCCACTGGCTTAGACACATTTAGGGTTGCCCACTTAGGGCCAAACTAAAGTTTAGCCTATTCTTATTCTGCATTTTGGCCACATTATTCCTGTTACTTCTTGTGCAGGCAATGTCATGATCCTGAATTTCTGTATCATGCACACCAAGAGATTCCAGGACACTTTCTCTTGGTTCCTTCTCCATTTATCTAAGCCAAACTATGCCCCCCCTGCCTCAAGCCACAGGAGCCAGAGTGGCCCATTGCTCCCTCATTACCAGCTGTTTCCAAAATGCTCTTACCAGAGCCTATAGGCACATACAGCCCTAATCCTGTGTACAATTAGACAACAAGGTGGTCCAAAGGCTATTAAGAGTTACTTTGCATAAATATACAGGTTTAAAAAAAAAGGATCAAAGGCACTTCTCCAAATTGACAGTAATACTATAGTAGTAGGGAATTTTAACATCCCACTTACATCAATGGATACATCACCCAAACAGAAAATCAACATGGAAGCAGTGGCTTTGAATGACACATTAGACCAGATGGACCTAACAGATATATATAAAATATTCCATCCAAAAAGGGAATACACATTCTTTTCAAGTGCACATAGAATATTCTCCAGGATGGATCACATGTTAGGCCACAAAACAAGTTTCAATAATTCAAAAAGATGGAAATCATATCATGCATCTTTTTTGACCACAATGGTATGAAAGTAAAAGTCAATTACAAGGAAAGAACACAAATACATGGAGGTTAAATAACATGCTACTCAATAATGAATGGGTCAACTGAAAAATCAAAGAGGTAGTAAAAAAAAAAAAAAAAGAAAATGAAAAAAACAGTCCAAAATCTTTGGAATGCAGCAAAAGCAGTTCTAAGAAGGAAGATTGTAGTGATACAGGCCTACTCAAGAAACAAGAAAAAGCTCAAATAAACAACCTAATTTTACACCTAAAGGAGCTAGAAAAAGAACCAAAAAAAAAGCCCAAATTTAGTAGAAGGAATGAAATAATAAAGATTAGAGCAGAAATAAATGAAATAGAAACAAATAAATAAAAAATAAACAAATAAAAGATCAATGAAACAAGGAGCTGTTTTTTTAAAAGATAAAATTGATAAACCTTTAGCTAGACTCATCAAGAAAAAAGGAGATGACTCAAATAAAATCAGAAGTGAAGGAGGAGAAATGACAACTGGCTCCACAGAAATACAAAAAGATTATAAGAGAATATTATGGAAAATTATATGCCAACAAATTGGACAACCTAGAAGAAATTAATAAATTCCTAGAAGCATATAACCTTCTAAAGCTGAATAACGAATAGAAAATCTGAACAGACCTAATTATTAGCAATGAAATTAAACCAGTAATTAAAAAATTTCCAAAAAATGAAAGTCCAAGACCAGATGGACTCACTGGGGAATTTTACCAAATATTTAAAGAAGAATTAAAACCTATTCTTTTCAAATTCTTCCAAAAAATGTAAGAGGAAGAAAAGCTGCCAGGTACATTCTACAAGGCCATCATTACCCTAATACCAAAACCAGACAAAGCCACTACAAAAATAGTAATAATAACTACAGGCCAATTTGTCTGATGAACATAGATGCAACAATCAGTAAGATACCTAGCAAACCAAGGTCAACAATACATTGAAAAATTATTTACTACAATCAGGCAGGATTTATTCCAGGGGTGCAAGGGTGGTTCAATATTCACAAATCAATCAATGTCATATATCACATTAACCAGAGAAAGAATGAAAACTATATAATCATTCTAATAGATGCAGAAAAAACATTTGACAAAATTCAACATCCATTCATGATTTAAAAAAAAAAAAAGCCCCAACAAAGTAGGTTTAGAGAGAACATGCCTCAACATAATAAAGGCCTTATATGAAAAGCCCACAGCTAACATCATAACTAAATGGTGAAAAACTGACAGCTTTTCCTCTGAGGTTAGTAACAAGACAGAGATGTCCACTTTCACCACTTTTATTCAACATAATACTGGAAGTCTCAGCCACAGCAATCAGACAAGAAAAAGAAATAAAAGGCATCCATATTGGTAAGGAAGAAGTAAAACTGTCACTATTTGTACATGACAGGATACTATATATAGGAAAAATCATAAGGAGACCATCAAAAATCTACTAGAACTGGTAAATTAATTCTGCAAAGCTGCATGATACAAAATTAATATAAAGGAATTTGTTGCATTTCTATACACTAATAACAAAGTAGCAGAGAGAGAAACTAAGAAAACGATTTACAATTGCACCAACAAGAATAAAATACCTAGGAATAAACTTAACCAAGGAAGTGAAAGATCTGTACTCTGAAAGCTATAAAACATTGATGAACAAATTGAAGAAGACACAAATGAATGGAAAGATATTCCATGCTCATGGATTGGAAGGATTAATATTGTTAAAAATATCTATACTACCCAAATCAATCTACATATCTAATGCAATCCCTATCAAAATACCAACAGCATTTTTCACAGAACTACAACAAATAATTCTAAAACTTGTATGGAACTACTAAAGACCCCAAGTAGCCAAAGCATCTTAAGAAAAAAGAACAAAACTGGAGGTATCATAATCCCAGATTTCATGACATACTACAAAGCTGTAGTGAACAAAACAGTATGGTACTGGCACAAAAATAGACACACAGATCAATGGACAGAATTGAAAACCCAGAAATAAGCCCATGCTTATATGGTCAATTAATCTATAACAAAGAAGGCAGGAATATACAGTGGGGGAAATATAGTCTCTTCAACAAATGGTGCTGGAAAAATTGGAAAGCTACATGCAAAGGAATGAAACTAGACCACTTTCTTATACCATACACAAAAATGAACTCAAAATGGATTAGAGACCTAAATGTGAGACCTAAAACCATAAAATTCCTAAAAGAAAACATAGGCAGTAATTTCTTTAACATCAACCATAGAAACATCTTTCTAGATAGGTCTCTTAAGGCAAGAGAAACAAAAGCAAAACTAAACTGTTGGGACTACACCAAAATAAAAACGTTTTGCACAACAAAGGAAATAATCAACAAAATCAAAAGGGAATCCAGTGAATTGGAGAAGATATTTGTAAATTATATATCCAAAAAGGAGTTAACATCCAAAATATATAAGGAACTTATACAACTCAACACCAAAAAAAATCCAATTAAAAAATAGTCAGAGGAACTGAATAGACATTTCCAAAGAAGACATACAAATGGCCAACAGACACATGAAAAGGTGCTCAATGTCACTAATCATCAGGGAAATGCAAATCAAAACTACAATGAGGTATCATCTTACACCTGTCAAATGGCTAGTATCAAAAAGACAAGAAAAAACAAGTGTTGGCAAGGATGTGGAAAAAAAGAAATCCTCATGCACTATTGGTGTGAATGTAAATTGGTGCAACCACTGTGGAAAATGGTATGGAGGTTCCACAAAAAATTAAAAATAGAATTACCATATGCTCCAACAATACCACTTATGGGTATTTATCTGAAGAAAACGAAAACACTAATTTGAAAATATATAGACACCCACAGGTTTACTGCAGCATTATTTACAGTAGTCAAGATATGGAAGCAACCCAAATGTCCGTCCATAGATGAATGGATAAAGAAGAGGTGGTATATACATACAGTGAAATATTCATCCATAAAAAGGATAAGATCTTGCCATTTGTGATAACATGGATGGCCCTAGAGTATATTATGCCAAGTGAAATAACTCAGAGAAAGGCAAATACCATATGATTTCACTCATGTGGAATTTAAGAAACAAAACAAAGAGAAATAAAAAAAAAAAACAGACTCTTAAATACAGAGAATTGGTGGTTGCCAGAGGTAGGATGGGGGGTTGGGTAAAATAGACTGGGATTGAGAGGTACAAACCTCTAGTTAGAAAATAAATAAGTCACAGAGATGAAAAGTACAGCATAGGGAATATAGTCAATAAGATTGGAGTAATGTTGTTTAGTAACAGATGGTGACGACATTTATTGTGGTGAGCACTGAGAAATGTATAGATTTGTTGAGTCATTATATTGTATACCTGAAACTAATATAACACTGAATGTTATACTTCAAAAAAAAAGGCACTTCTCCAGGCAGTCTTATAAAACTTACCTGTATGATTACTACCTATGAACCAAGAACACTGTAACAAAATAGAGATGTTTTACATATTTAAGAATAAACCTTTAAAGGGGTGCCTGGGTGGTTCAGTTGTTAAGCGGCTGCCTTCAGCTCAGGTCATGATTCCAGGGTCCTGGAATCGAGCCCCACATCAGGCTCCCTGCTCAGTGGGAAGCCTGCTTCTCTCTCTCCCACTCCCCCTGCTTGTGTTCCCTCTCTTGCTGTGTCTCTCTCTGTCAAATAAATAAATAAAATCTTTAAAAAAAAAAAAAAGAATAAACCTTTAAAGCATTAATGTAAACTCAAAACCCAGCACCTATGTGAATGGGTTGACCTCTTTGAAGCATCTGGAAGACTGAGAATTAAGCTTAAAAGAACAAACCTAAGCCAGCCTGATGACTGTTAGGTTCACCTCTTTGAGGAGCCCTCTTTACACACCACACTTTCTTTTTAGGTTTCCAAATTCCCCACATACCTAAACAATGGCCACAGGGAAGGGGAATATATGCTATTTCCAAAAAAAAACTTGATACTTTAGTGATTTTTAATTTCGCCATGACAGTAATGACCATTTATTGACTGTGACCTTCACATTAACTTTATGAAGTAGACCAGATAGGTCTTATTGTTAATTGGTATTAATACCCCTTTTACAGATAATATAACCGAGGCTTAGGGAGATTTACATGACCAGCAAAGTTTACATGGCTATTAAGTGGCAGAGATGGGAACAGAATTCTTCTCTGACTTGTAGAATAGTGTGCTCTACATTATTTTATGCTGTTTTAATAAGATGGATTTCAGTGTAATGTAGTTCAAGACATCATACCTGTCCATCATCTCTAGCTAGATTATGAAATTTCAGATTGGATGACTAGAAAATTGTCGTCAAAAAAGCGTTTCTCTATGATGATGGATGGAACATGATAAATGAAACAAGAATTACCTTAGATGAACAGTTAGAAAAATAATCTAAATGGTCACTAAGAAAATGTTCAAAATGTCTGCTTAAACAGAAAGGCATAGCTATGAGCTATGAAAATTTATATATGGATATGATTTGCTATAATAGGATCCTTTGTACTGCTGGTGTGTCCTGCATCTTTGGTGAAATTGAAAAAGACTCTTTCATCAAGATACTTTACTTCCATTTGCCAGAAAAATATAAAATATTCTAATATATTATATCTATGATATGATTGGCACTCTTTTCAATGTGATGTCTTGTAATGTGCAAACTACATGGCCATAGTAGGTGACCATGTACCCAATTCTCAAAATGGTGGCTCAGATACCCTCTGAGTCTCTATGTGTGAAAAGTCACTTGTCCGTCAAATTAAGGAATTACTATGACAGGGAGAGGAGATTTTAGTAAGAAAATGGGGATGAGAAATCAGGATAATTGGCAGCAGTTTGGCAGAATGCAGATAAATTTTTTTTAAAGGAATATGTTATTGGTTATTATTGAGACACCTACAAAATTTTTAAGTCATAAAAAAAGAAAAAGGCTAAACAATGGCCGGCCTTTTCCCTAAGTCTTTGGCAATCCACAGCAGCCAAAAATTATATCCAACAAGGACATGTTTGAATTTCAGAAATTCAAAGTCTATAAAATATAGCCATGAGCTTATCATGAGTTCAGTTTCACCCATGAAACGTATTTAGCCAAGTAATTAACTTGAAGGCTGGTTCTGCCATATTAGCTAAATAATCATGGACAAATCTTTTGTCCTCTGTGGGCCTCAGTTTCCTCACTTGTAAAAAGGAGGCATTGTAAAAAATCATAAAGATCTTTTCCACTTCTTAATTTCTATAACCATATATCCTTATAGACCATCTAGTGAAATGTGTGATTGCAGCAGAATTCCATTAAAAACTCAGGGTGCCTCTCATTGTCATGAAAGCTGTGGGTAAGTACCATGGAGTCTAGGTGTCCCAGTTCCTCCTCCTTCTTGGCAGCATTTACTCTCATGTGCTCAGGTATCTTATAGTCTGAGGCTGTCTTCAGATTGAAGTCTCCCATATACAACTGGGCCTCCTTGATGGCTTGAACATCTTTGGGATCTTCAAAGTCATCCTGAGGTTTACTCTTGTACCTATCAGAAAAATAGAGAACCCAACCACAAATGTAACAATAAACTTTAGTTTGTCTACTATATGTATATAATCAAATTCAGTCATAAAGCAAACATAGAATTCTGAATCTGTAGTACTACTTTTATCTGCAGAGCCCCAGCATTTTTTTTAAGTTAACGACTACAGACCTTCCTCAACTTATAATGGGGTTATGTACCAATAAACCCATAGTTGAAAATATTATAAATCACATGCATTCAGTACACCTAACTTACCTAACATTATAGTTTAGCCTAGCTCACCTTAAACATACTCAGAACACTTATGTTAGCCTATAGTTGGGAAAAATTAATACAAAGCCCATTTCACAAAAAGTGTTGAAAATCTCATGTAATTTACTGACTACTGTACTGAAAGTAAAAAAACAGAATGGTTGTAAGTGTATTGATAGTTTATCCCCAACACCATGTAGCTGACTTGGAGCTGTGGTTCACTGCTTCTGTGCAGTATCATGAGAAGGTATCATACTGCATATATCACTAGCCTGGGAAAAGATCAAAATTCAAAGTACAGTTTCTACTGAATGCATATCACTTTCACACTATTGTAAAACCAAAAAAATCAAGTCAAACCACCTTAAGTTGGGGACCCTCTGTATTTTTACAGCACCTCAAGCAAAGTCATAATGAAATAAATAAAACCCAATTACCAGATGGTGCTGAAATAATCTGAATCATTTTTAGGCTTCTCTTCATTTCTAAGTGATTTATATCAAGATGGTTATTTATTCCTTCAACAGACATTAAGCCACAGAGACAGAGTAGGTGTATGTTAATCAGTAGAAATTTAATTTACCTTTTTTTTTAATAATGTAAGTGATAGTCATAAAATTTTCAAAAAAAGGCATCTAGTTAAAAATGATCATAATGAGCATATGTATTTGCCTCCTGCTTTCTCCCCAAATTCCATGGAAATGATGGTGTGGAGGTATTAAAGGGAATAAATCGGGAAGGCTGAGAATAAGATAGAAAGCCATGAGCAAACCAGTGATAGCAAATTTAAAGGATAAATCAAAGTAGAGAAAACTGTGGCCCAGAATATCCCCAGGGAAGGCTATAAAAAAGATTGAACATGATCTTATCAGTAGAGGTCCTAGGGTGCTCCAAGCACAGATATCAAAAGACCCAACTACCTAATTCTGTAAAGTGAAGCCTGTCAGTGAACATGAACATGTACACAGAGCTTGCAGTCAGCCCTTTAGGAAAACAAACACATACAAAAGCAGAGGAAACACATGTTATCTAATGTATTGATAATTGCTCCTTTGTGTAAGATAGCACTAAAAGGAAGGATTAATAGTTTAAAAAGGAAAGGAAGTGAAGAAAAGAGAGAGAGGAAGGAAAGAAAGAAAAAGGAAGGGAGGAAGGGAGGTAAGGGAAGAAGAATGAATGAAAGGAAGGAAAGAAGGGAGGGAGGGATGAGGAAGGGAGGGAAGACAGAAAGAGAGAAAGAAAGGAAAGAAGGAACGAAAGAAAGAGCAAGCAGATACTTCAGCTCTGGCCATGTGAGGAAAACAAGGCCCATAATTATCCTCATGCTATAAATAACTAGAAAACTGAGCAAAAAAAATATGAAACTATGTTCAGACATTGAATAACAGGCAGCACAGGACTATAATTCATGTGAGAAGTGAAAAAAAATAATTCTTACTCTCTCTATTTCTGCATGGAGTAAAGTATCAGACTGTGGAATAGTGTTGAAATCCAAAATATTATTCCAGTAATCTCAATGATTAAGGTTATAAAGATGAGAGTTCAGAGAAGCCAGAGTGGTTAGAATTGAGAGGAAAAAAATATCAGAGCTACACACAAAACAATGTCTTCAGAAATTTACATAGGGCTCTCTTGAGTTTTTGACCACGTATTAACCTATACATGTAAAACATCATGAAGATAAGTAAAGAACATCTGGGGGAAATACAATTACTAGGAAGCTGTAAAACAAGTAATTCTCATAGTTTACACATGGCTTGAAATCACTCATGAGTTCGTCAGCTGGAGAGACCTTGTTAAAGGTAGGGAACATTCAGTAGAAACACTTAAAGAGTCATGCCTTCAAAGTAGGAAAAACAAAAGATCTGGACATCATCAATCATCCAGTCCTCACTGACATTTATAGAAAACTACACCAAAGAACACAAGAAAACACATTCTTTTTCAAGCACACATTGAATTTTCATGAAGACAGACTGTATGCAGGCCCATACAACTCCCAATAAATTTATAAGAATTTAAACCATGCAAACTATTGGGAAATTAAATAGCATACTTAAAAATAAACTATGGGGCATCTGGGTGGTTCAGTTGGTTAAGCCTCTGACTCTTGATTTTGGCTCAGGTCATGATCTCATGGTTATGTTATCAAGCCCTGCATCCAGCTCTGCACTCAGCACTTAATCTGCTTGAGATTCTCTCTCTCCCTCTCCCTCTGCCCCTCCCCCTGCTCTCTCCCTTTCTCTAAAATAAATAAATAAAATCTTTTAAAAAATAAATCATAATCAACAAGAAATCACAAGGGATATTAGAAAATATTTTGGACAGGGGCTCCTGGGTGGTGCAGTTGGTTAAGCATCTGCCTTCGGCTTAGGTCATGATCCCAGGGTCCTGGAATCGAGCCCCATGTCAGGCTCCCTGCTCAGTGGGAAGCCTGCTTCTCCTTCTCCCCCTGGCTTGTGCTCTTTCTCTCTCTCTCTCTCACTTGCTCTTGCTCATTCCCTTTCTCTCTCAAATAAAAAAAATCTTTAAAAAATATATTTTGGACAAAATGATGCTGAAAATATATCAGAACTTGTGAAATGAAGCTCAGTGTTTCATTTATACTTTAAATTTATACTTAAATTTATACTTTAAATGCTTATAATTAAAAAAGAAGTATAAAATCAAAGCTTACAGCTTAAACTTAAAACTTAAACAGCGAAAAAGAATTAACTAATCCCAAATTAATAAGAATAAAGGAAATGATAGAGAACAGAAATATCAATGACACAGAAAGCTGACAAGCAATATTTCTAAAAATCTATGACCAAAAGTTAGTTCCTTGAAAAGATCAATAAAATTGATAAGTCTTTTGCTGGAATGATCAAGAAAAAGAGAAAAGATACAAATTAATGATATCAAAAATAAAACAAGGGACAATGCAACAGATACTACAGAAATTTAAGTAATAAGGCAATAGTTCGAACTATTTTATGCCAATAAATTTGATAACCAGATAAAATGCACAAATTCCTTGAAAGATACAAATTACCAAAACTGATCCAAGAGGAAATATAGAATCTGAATAACACTATAACTATGAAAAATTGGAATTTGTATTTATAACCTCTCAATATTCCATGTCCATTTGGCTCATTGATAAATTCTATCAAATATTTAAGAAATAGGTAATATGAAGCCTCCAATCTTTCAGAAAATAGAAGAGAAAGGAAAACTTCTCATCTCATTTTATTCAACTAGTCTTACCCTGATAACAAACCAGAAAAGATATTATATAACAATAAAACTAGAGACCAATAGTCTTTATTTAAAAAGATACAAAAGTCCATAACAAAATGCCAGCAAATCAAATCCAGCAATATATATTTTTGGAAAATGTCAAAAGTCTATTTTTCCAGTTTATTGAGATATGATTGCATGTAATATTGTATCAGTTTAGGGTGTACAACATAATGATTTCATACATGTATCTATTGCAAAATGTTTGCCACAATAAGTTTAGTTAACATCCATCCACATAGTTATAATTTTTTTTCTTGTGATGAGAATTTTTAAGAGTTACCCTCTTAGCAACTTTCAAATACACAATACAGTACTGTTAACTAGTTATATTGTATATTACCTCTCCAGAACTTATTTATCTTATAAATAGAAGTTTGTACCATTTGATCACCTTCCTCCCCAACTCCCCACCTCTAGCAATCATCAATATGTTCTGTTTCAATGAGTTCAGGGTTTTTAGATTCCACATATAAGGAAAATCATATAGTATTTATTCTTCTCTGACTTATTTTACTTAGTATAATGCCCTCAAAGTCCACTGGTATTGTTGCAAATGGCAGAATTTCTCTTTTTTAAGGCTGAAAAATATTCCAGTGTATGTATGTATCATAACTTCTTTATCCATTTGACCATTAATGGAGACTTAGGTTGTTTCCATGTCTCAACTATTGTTATTAATGCTGCAGTAAACACAGGAGTGCAGACATCTCTTCAAAGACCATTTTAGTTTTGTCTGTATACCCAGAAGTGGGATTGCTAGACCATATGGTAATCTAATTTTTTTTTAAAGATTTTATTTATTTATTTGAGAGAGAGAGAATGAGAGACAGAGAGCATGAGAGGGAGGAGGGTCAGAGGGAGAAGCAGACTCCCTGCTGAGCAGGGAGCCCGATGCGGGACTCGATCCCGGGACTCCAGGATCATGACCTGAGCCGAAGGCAGTCGCCCAACCAACTGAGCCACCCAGGCGCCCCTGGTAATCTTATTTTTAAATTTCTGAGGAACCTCCATACTGTTTTCCATAGTGGCTGCACTAGTTTATGTTCCCATCAATAGTACAGAAAGTTCCCTTTTTCCCACATTTTGCCAATAGTTGTTATCTCTTGTCCTTTTGATGACAGGTATTCTAACAGGTGTGAGGTGATCTCATTGTAGTTTCGATTTGCATTTCCCTGATGATTAGTGATGTTCAGCACTGTTATCATGTACTTAATGGCCTTTTGTAGGTCTCCTTTGAAAAATGTCTATATACATTCTTCATCCACTTTTAAATCTGTTTGGTTTTTTGTTATTCAGTTGTAAAAGTTCTTTATGTATTTTGGATATTAACCCCTTATCAGATATATGATTGTGAATACATTCCCTAAGTTGCCCTTTCATTTTTTTGATAGTTGCCTTTACTGTACATAAGCTTTTTAGTTTGCTATAGTCCCACTTATTTATTTTTGTTTTTGTTGCCTTTG